CACCAGTTTAGAGTACCTACTAGCGCGGGGCTCGAAACTGGTCTTTACTGCTAATATTAATAGTCCTTGTGTTGCAATAGCAGTCGTCGTTGCGGATTCGTCGCGTGCCGCCGAAGCGGGCTTGATGTGCATGTTGGTCGGTGTGGGTCCTTGAGTGCCATGTGCGGCGTCGTCGTTGGTTGTTCTCCGGTCGGCTCGAGCGCGGCATCCCGCCTACGCCGAGTCTCGTTCCTCCTCCATCCTCTTCCTCTCCCTCTCCGTCTCCGTCATCATCCCGAACCACCTTAGAAACCTGTCCATCTCCGTGACCACCCCCTCATCAAACTCCTCGCCATCCCCATCCTCGCCACCTCCCCCTGCCCCATCTTCATCCTCTTCCTCCTCCATACCGTCCTCGCTCCCATTCCTAACCCCGTCCCCTCGTTCCTCCGCCATGCCATCCTCCGGTCGGCTTCCACCATCGTCCCGTTTCCCTCTTATCCGACCCGTCTCGCGTACATACGCCATAAGCGCCTTGACTCCCTTCGCATCCGTCATGAGGAAAGCGTGGCTGCGCCACTTCTTGCCCGCGGCCGCCTTCAGCCGCCGCCGTTCGCCTTGCCGTGCTGGGCAGTCGTAGATAAAGTGAGAAACTGTCTCGTCGGCCTCTTCGCAGGCGTCGCAGAGTGGCGAAGCGACACAATTGATGCGATGGAGGTGTGCATTGAGCGGTGCATGCCCGGAACGCAGCTGGAAGAGTAGTGTGCTCTCTCTGCGCGATAAGCCGGACGTGATTTCGATGTGGCGCTTTGATGACGCGTCGGGCGCCCAGCGGCGGTGGCGCGTATATCGCGGCGATAACTGCCAGTCCTCCTGCCAACGGGCCTTGAGGCGTGCAGCGTATTCCTGACGGGTGGCCGAGAGGCTTAATCGCGGCGCCGCACGGAGACAAGCGGGTAGTTCGTTCGACGGGCTTACATCGCCCTCCGCGGCGAGTTTCGCTTGCCCGTCGACAAACTCGTTGAGCTCCGCATCGTCATGCCCCGATATCCAATAGATCCCTAGCGAGAACGGGTTGTGGCGGATCTGAAAGAGATGGTAAGCGAGGTCTCGGAAGCGATCAAGGAGGGAATGGCCGGGCTGAGCCTTGTGCAAGTGTTTAGTTGCACGGATGACGGCCTGGTTGTCAAGGCTGATGCTCGACGGTCGCGAAGCCGTCGCCGCGTCCTCCGTGAGCAGCAAGTGTGCCCCAAGGATGATACCTGCCGATTCCGCTTCGTATACGGTGTGTTCAGTGAGAGGACCCAAGCAGTAGCGAAGAACGCGCCGCTCGGTGTGTACACCATCAGTTCGCACCAACACCGCCGCCGCCCCTGCGTATCCTTCATACCCCGACCCATCCGTGTACACCCTGATGACCGAATCCATCTCTTGATCCTGTAGGTGCGAGTCCTCTCGCGTGTCGGCAATGTGTGTCCCGTATGGAGTAGCCATATGAGCCGGGTTGTATCGCATGGGGATGATGTCTTCGAGGCGATCCGGCGCTAATTCCGGGAAGAGATGGTAGAGATACTGTAATGGGCTGCGATGTGTGGTCGGGAAAACTGCCGCATTGCGTCGCGCCACTAGGTGCAGTGGGTGATTGACGGGGGTAGTCGAGATGCGGGATAGTGCTCGGAAGCACAACTTCGCGACAAGGAGGCGCATGGGGAGCAGGTTGGCGCAGATATCGAGGAGGTCGTTTGGCGATGAGCGCATTCCGCCTGTGATGGTAAGTGCAGCAATACGCTGAACCGAGCAAAGCTTCGCCATAACGCTAGCAGACCCCCGTCGCCGCGCGAGCCACGGGTCGGCGCAGGGGATATCGATCGGGATAGGTAAGCCCCACACGTCAACCGCGTACAACATCTTGGGTATGACCACCCCGATGTATATGCGGCGGACATATTTTGGCCGGATACCATAGCTCATACGGGCAAGGCGGCGCACCTGAAGGGCATAGTCGCGACCTTTAGCCGTCGCGTCCTTGGCGTGTTCCGACCAGGACAGGCGGTCGTCCCATATAACCCCTAGAAAACGGTGAGAATGCACGGGTTTAATCGTCAGGCCGCCCATCTGCAGCGGCGGGCGAGCCAGGCGTCGCGGTGGAGGCCGTTTGTGCTGGGTTGGTGTTCCTGGAACATTGCGCTTGCGCTTCGCGCGGGGTGGATCTGAGGGCTGGCCGTCGGGCGGAGTTGGCGCTCGTGAGAAGTCCATTAACTTGAACTTGCTCGGTTCGAACTTGGAGAAGTGCGCGGTCGCCCAGTCCTTCGCGCCGTTCGGGCGGAGGTACATGTGGCGTAACTTCCTATGCGTGAGCGTAAAGTCATCGCCGATGGCGACAAGTGCCGTGTCATCAACAAAACCTAGCGCGCGTTCGTTGGCATCCATCGGGATCTGCAGCAGACCCGCCCCATAGAAGAGGTAGAGCACCAGCGACATCGGGTCACCCTGAGGAATGCCATTCCGAACGGCGAAGGGTTCGGATTCATATCCATCAAACTTAAGCTGTGTCTGCCGGCTGGCCAGTAAGCGTGAAACAAAGTCCACCATATAGGTCGGGACGCCGCGGGAGCGCAAGTCGTGGATCAGTACTTCCGGGACCGCATTGGGAAATGCCCCTTCAATGTCCAAGAAGAGTACCGAGACGACCTTCCCTTGAGACCACGCCGTCGAGATTATGTCCGAGAGGTAGTGCATGGAATCTGTGGTCGCACGGCCTGGGCGGCCACCAAACTGAGTGTGGGGGAGAAGATCGAAGTCCTCGCATAGGTAGGTCAGCCGCTCCGTCACGATAGCGGTGAGAACCTTGGCCATGGTGTTCAACAGGGCGATGGGGCGGTAAGCCTTGGTGACGGCGTAGCTCGGTTTGCCGGGTTTACGGAGGACTATGGTGGAGAATTCGCGCCAGGGGTCGTAGTATAGGTCGTGCCGGAGGATCGCATTGTAGATGCGGACTAAGTGTGGTGCGAGCAGGTCAGCGCACTTCATGAGAACCGCGTTGTGGATGCCATCAGGGCCCGGTGCCTTGAAGGGGCTAAGACGGGCTAAGTGTCGTAACACCGTCTCCTCGTCAAGCGGAGTGAACTCTGCGACAGGCTTGGGGTATACGGGATCGGGTGGTAGATTGGCGTCGTCGGGCGGTTCAGGGAAGAAAGACTGCGCCAGCCATTCGCTTTTGACATCATTAGTCGAGGCGGAGGCTGTAACATTGCCAGCTTCGTCCTTTCGGACCAACGTCGGGATGGTGGTGGTCCCACCGTCAGAGCCCTTCGAGCCGGCAAACTTGTTCGCTTTCCAGACGTCTTCTTCGCAGACCGCATCCAGCCAGCTTTCCCAGTGACATTTCTTAGCGAACCTGATAGCCCGCGCATACTCTTTGTGGAGGAGCCGTCGCTCAAGATGAGCCGGGTGACCCGGCGTTCCGCGCCACCGGTAAGCTTCGCGGTCAGCCATGTAGTACCGTTTGCGCATGGCCGTGAGCTCGCTTGTCCACCATGCCTTACAATGTGGGCGATCCTTGTTGAGCGGCACCCTCTCAGTCACAGATTCTTGTATTGCCTTAGTCAGAGCGTCGATGATGGTATCCAGCTGTTCTTGTGTCGTGATATCCTCCGGATCAGGCAGTTCGTCGAGCCGCGTCGTCAGGAATTCGCGGAAAGCTTCCCAGTTCGTGAGACGGATGTTACGTGAGGGTGCAGGTCGCCGGATTTCCACCGGTATGTCCAGAGTGGTGCAGATGGGTACATGATCAGTGTGAGGTCCACGATTTCCAGGGTCTGTGTCGCAAGCGGTGACGGCGTCGAGTAGAGCAGATGAGCACCAAACGTTATCGGTCCTATGCCACTGCTTCGTGCGATTGAGCTGTAGCGTGGGTATACCTGCCGGGAGAGCCATAGACATGTCATGATCCGAGGCCAGAGTGAGCAAGATCTCCGCATCGCGCGTCGCTCGCTTGCTGAACAGTTGTGTGTGTGCGTGGTCATCCCAGAAGCGGTGGTGTCGGTTGAAGTCGCCAAGCCAGATCATGTACGAGCGGTCGTCAGGCAGTATATGGTCGTGGTGGTCATGGATGAAGGTACGAAGTTGGTGCATGGTGTCAGAGTCGGTGCAGCTGTTATAGATATTGAAGATAGTGACGCGTCCGAATTCGCCCTTGAGCTGTATGACCGAGACGTCGCGACTCGGGAACGGGAGCGTTTCGCACGAGTCGGAGGAGATCTCCGTGTTGACAAGTGTTACAGCGTGGGCGGGGTTGTCAGGGTCGAAAGCATAGCCATGCGGATATTCGATGCGGAAGTCGTTTGTGGCGCGAGTGAGGCCACGCGCGTCGATGCAGGGCTCCTGGATGAAGACGAGGTCGTATTGTTGATGAGGATTCCTGTTCAGCAGTGTCTGTTGTGCGATCGCATTCTTATTGAGGTTCTGCTGGAAGATCCTCAAGTTTCGCGTACGTGTCGGGTTGATATTCTCAGTGTGCGTTGGTCACAGGGGGAGTGGCAGGCGGTGTCGTCACATCCGGGGCCTCCTGCTGTTGGTCCAGGGCTACCTCGAGGCTCGCACTAACAGATTTGCGACGCTCTGCTTGATTGCCGGCCCCGCGAGCGGGAGTAAGTTTCACCTCACCGAGGGTGGTCTTCTGGTAGAGAGTGGGGTACGGGCGGTGGCTACGCGGCATGCGGTAAGAGCTGAATGGCGTGCCCGGTTCGACCATGGCTTCCAGAGTCCAGGCCTCCTCCGTGGGGAAGAAAACGCGGCAGTTCTCTGGGTGGCGCCCGTCATAGATAGCGCACCGCCGCAGGAACGAGGGGCAGGAGCGGTCGCGACTGGAGTGCGCCGTAGACTTGCACGAGACGCAGAACTTCTTGCCATCGCGCGGACAACCGTTCGTGCGGTGGGGTTCGCCGCAGATGCCACAAGTGTCTCGACTTTGACGGCATGTCTTCACGACGTGACCGGGAACTTGACATTTCGCGCAGCGTGGCGGTTCGTACTTCTGCCGCCAACACTGGGACCAGTGGCCGCAGACTGTGATGCCGGCGAGGATGGTGCAATTGGCGGCTTGCGGCTCGGTGAGCGTAAGCATCACATTCGCGTGGCGCTGGTCGGGATCGCGAAGACGCTCCGGCTTGATCCACTGCGCAAGCTCGATGCAACCAGCTGGGAGCTCGTTGAGTGCTTCAATTTCGCGTAGTGCCTCAGCTTCGCCAGCCGCGAACGTTGTCGGTACAATGTGTGCGACAACCTTGTATTTCCGCCCGACGGCACTCATGTGATAGCGCAAATGGTGTTCGAGCGCCTCGCTCCCTTCGGCCGACTTGATCCACCTCGCTGCTGCCGGTGACGGGAAATCCACCAGGATATCAAAGTTGAGGCGGCGTGCGCGTAGAGGGAGGAGGGCGCAGCCCGCCCTCTTCTCTAGGTCGCCCTCTCGGACAGCCTCGCGGAAGCGATCCGCGATGACAACATCCGGCCCGCTAGTAGGAACTGCCTCGATGTTCTCGGGCGGGGGTGTAAGATGCGGTTTGAATAGTACCTGACTGTCACGGATGTACTCCGCGTTCCTAGCACTGAGTTCTCGAGTGTTGGGTACGTTGCCATAGGTGCCGTACAGAGCCTCAGTAGCGCCTTCAGAGAGGGGGGCTTTCTGTCGGGGAGTGGGAGCTTCGCCAGTAACCTTCCCCTGCAGATCATCAAAGCAGTCCTCGAGCCGCCCGATACCTTCCTTGTAGACCGTCTCAATGCGTTGTTCCTGTTCAACGAGGAGATTGAGGATGGCATCCTGGTGATCGGCCGCCAGAATGTCGATCAAGTCAGCCACAGATGCCGCCAGTTTGCACATGAGCTCCTTAGTGGTGCGGCCTGGTAGCTCTGCGAAGCGCCTCAGCGCAGCCGACAAGGCACCCGAGGAGAGCCGTGCCTCGTCATTCTCCATGACTTTGTTCTCTTTCAGGAACTTGCATGCGCGGATAATGCGTGCCGCGGCCGGGCCGGGAGGTGCTGCGGTTGAAGTTGTTGCACGTCCAGGGGGCGTGTTGCCAGATGTTTGTCCAGAGGTACCCAGTGAAGACCGAGGCGTACGAGCGTCGCCAGTGCCAGTATTAAGACCGGTGTTGGTACCGGTGCCAGTATAATAAGTAGATCCAGAACGTTGAACCATAGCAGCACGCTGCTGTTGGCTCGGGCGCGAGTCAGACTTCTTGGTTGGGGTAGTCGTCTTCGAGCCACCAGCTACTCTAGCCGGTGATGCAATACCACTATCTGTTCGAATTGCTCCGGACATGCTCCTATATAACCCAGCGAGTCAGCGAGGACCTTCGGAAGGTACGTACTGGCTTTCTATATCGTGGGAAAAAGGGAGATGATGGTGGTTGCTCCAGCATTGTCTTGGAATCTGTCTGCGCGCTCTTCGTCTTGGAATCTGTCTGCGCGCTCTTCGTCGTACTGGGACTTGAGCTCAAGCTTTCGTCTCCCCGGGGCGACAGACCTCGATCAATCGGTCTCACATGACTGTGGCTAGAACTCTCATATCTCCTAGTTCTTTTGATCAGGCCTGATCCTGTAGTCTAAGTAGAAGAAAGGTGACATACCCCATCTCCGTATCCGACAACGTTGACCTCTGGGTTTGTGCGCCGAATTGCATCGTGTCCAATGGTGAATCCAGGCCTCCTTCCCGCAGCGGGACTTTCCATCCAACCCAGCTACACACCGTACACATACCGCGCCAGTACGCTGCACGGGCTTCTGCGGTTAGACCGAAGATCCCAAAGATGATGAATCCGAGTACCACAGATGAGTAAAGCGTGATATAAATCTGAGCGAGTGTGAAAGGGGAGGAGGCTAGCCCAGTTGGCCAGAGGAGCTCTTGTATTGGTTCTTTCCAGGTGTCGTGCACAACATTCCAACCAGGATAAAAGGGAAACGGGCCTTGCAAGACTAGCGAACGTATTCCCACAGCAACGTTCACAATGCCAATGGGCAGCGTGAGCAAGATATCTATGCTAGCAAGGATCATGACGCGGATATAGCTCGCTCGCGAAATGGATCCATTGCTGCATAGAAAGCCGTTGACAGCTCTACGTTGGCAGAGAAATAGACGAGCCACTTTGGCTAGACGCACGTCAGTCTATCAAAAGATGGAATGGTTATTGTTTGCGACGCACGGTAGTATATAGTGAGGGTGAAGAGGGGGACGATGATGTTCCAGGACTGTATAGACAGAGTCCCAAATACCGATCCATCCGCAGCACTTTGGCATCCGAATGCCTCGATCACCTGAAATCGGGCAGCCTGATTCACGTAGTCTATGGCCAAGGTCAGCATAACCTACCGCAACCGCCTCTTAAGTCTTACACAAAGGTCCGGCCACGATTACGGGGATACCCAAACCGAACGTCCACTCCACAAGGCGATTCCAAATTTTCTATGACCATATCATGGTATCCAGGTTCATCTGCATGCCGGTCTGGAGAAGACGTACTGCTGCTCTTGAAGGTAGATCCACGGACTGAAGTTCGATGATTAAGAAGAGCCGGCGCACGATGATGAGGGTGGCCATTGGTTTGATGACGGACGCGATGATCTCTATGTGCGTTGCTGCCGCTTATCGTCAACCTCGAGAGCCAACGAGTACAAAGATGAGAAAACACACCGATATCGCAGTAAACGTAGAGTCTCGCATTGGCATTGTCTGACCATACAATCGTGTTCACGGTCGTTGCCAGGCACTGAAGGCATAGCCAGAAGGAGAGGAAGGCGACACCAAGGTTCCAGCTCTGCCGTACGAAGCCTGTCACCAGAACAATGAACAGCATCGCCGCCGCCAAGCTGGAGGTAACGGGAAGCAACGGATAAGAAGGGTCTGCTGCAGGCATGTCCGAGCGAGCTTTGCCGAGGTACGGCAATGCTGCTAACTTTTAATAGGTTTCGAGCACATCGCTCGGCCAAGGTCAGTGTTGCGATCTCCCTCCATACTTACAGGGTTCTGCAACGGCGTGCCCAGATTACCGTAAGAGGAATAAGGCGTTGAGTGTACTCCGTATAGAGGTTAGAGGGCGGGGACGGGAACGGGAACGGGAACGGGAGAAGGAAGATGAAGCGAGCGAGAACAGCCGCGCCACAGTTGACCCTCGTGATTCACGCCCAAGGCTGCAGGTCAAGTTGAGATACGACGCTTCATAGTAATACAACACAATGTGCCCCTTTGAGTGCCTGTTAATTCGATTCAGTGCTGATGTTGGCGTACATAGCGGCGACGGAAGGTTCAGTGACTCACGAGAAGATGATATCGTAGCATGCAGCCGCCGAACATGCGAACCTTGGGCGGTCATGGCTTATTGCGCTACAGACGTTCTTCTCTTCTCCCGAGTGGATTGAGTTTCGCTCTCGCATCAACCCGACCGTGTTGATCCTGCATGATCTACGCCCTCCAAGGTGTGTAGAGTACCGCATTGCACGAGTTCGACCTCGGGATGAAAGATGGAACCCAGGAGAGAGATGGCGAAGAAACGCTTTTAGGACAGATGTTTTAGTGCATGCATGAGGCTAGGCTGACGGGAGACACGAACTTACGCGCCGTGCAGAGTTGTTGGCGTACCATCTCGAGCCCGAGCCGCTCGCTCGGGACGAAAGTGGATCGTGGGTGGAAGCAAGAAGCGCCCGTGCGCGGAAGAGGGCGCTTGACACGCACGCGGATTTATGCACGCGCTACTTGCCTCTGATCTCCATCCAGACATGATGCGCCCTCGGTGAACAAAGGGCGGCTACAGGCGATGCAGAGCGCTACAAGGCTATCCTGCTACACGGTACGAAGCTTCTTAGGCTGTAGCGTTCATCATCACTGACTTGGACTTCCACATCGGCCCTTGACGCCGCCACCATCACCCACGACGATTACGAACGTCGACGATTCCAAAGGACAACTATTCCCAACTCTATCCCAGTGCTACCCCCTTTACATGCAGCATACCATATCTTGTCTGCTCCAGAGAACACCCGCACTGTACCATTACCGCTTTACAACCCATGTCATGAACGGGGTCGTATAATGCAATGCGATTGAGCTTCATCGAACGTATCTTGAGCTCATGAAGACGCCGAAAAGCAGACAGCGCTGATCGATTCGTCAGGCCATTGGCCATTGATGTGCACCGACCCACTGCCACAACGATGTCCAATCTAGGAGGCAAACGGTACGTACATGCATACAGCGTATTGATGGATAAGTAAGGCTACGGTAATCCCCCCTCAAAGCCAACATTCTTTCTCCCACCTCGTGGAATACATAATATCGGGAGGCAAAACCTGTATGGCCCCATCCGCAGCGAAGTTGACTCTCATGCCGCAACTCATGGCGTATTCGGCAATCACTCTTCCGTCGTGCCGACGCAGCACAAGCACGACTCTTTGTGTATTGTTCTCGGGTCGCCTCCAAGTGATATGGCACGACGCTAGAGGATCCTTCTGACGATTGATGAGGCAACGCCCGTCCGTCGTTAGCGTCACTGTATCGTCTATCCCGATGTAATTTCTTTTGTTGGCACTGGGAGGTAGACCGAAGACCTTGGGGATGAACTTCTGATCGAGTTGGATGTTGGCGAGCGCGGGATGCGCGTTTGGGGGCCTCGGACTACGATGCAAGTGACGTGTTAGATCTGATCGTTATGGCACGATAATGGCGTGTACAGACCTCGGCAGATCAGTCGAGTCCGTTGAGGTGGGTGAGGTTATCGAATCCATGATGGATGAATGGCAGATCGCGGGATGAGCAAAAGTAGCCTTCTGAGCACGCATATTTAAGCGATCGAGATCCCTTGTTCAGCGGTGAGCAGCACATCTATGATCTTGAAATCGATAGACAGTGCAGGAAGTTGTGAGGACAAAGCGTCTCTAGGACAACACCTAGCAGCTTTGAGAGACATGAGGCTGCACAGTCAGAATATGAGTTGGGCGTTGATGTTATCTTTGAGAAAGGGCTCGCACGTATAAGACAAGGCCTATCGATACTGTAGTGTGCAGAAGAGGATAAGGGCATCGAAACGTGGCCGAATACCCACCCTTTGCGAGGCCGGTAGAGGTCGTCGCGCGTCGACTAGGATCTGTGTCCATGACGTCCGTCAACGTGTGAATGCCTACGCGGCAGCGAGCCCGCACGACGATGAGTATGAGCCAGTCCTTCCATTGTTTCCTTTCTGACGCGCGCAGACCTGCGGCCGTCGAGCTGCCTCAGTCACATCCACCCTCGCGCCAATGGAACTCAAAGGAGAGCTGCCTCGGGAATCTTGAGCCACAGAAATAGGAAGAGTGGTGCAGAGCTACAAGCAGCTACAGTCACGGAGGGAGATAAGGAGAAACTATGCGCCTGTACGTCGTCGCCGTGCATGGAAGAACACGATTAGGTGTCGTGGTTGGCCTTTCGACGCGCGGATCAGACGCGCGGAGAAGTGGGCGCCTCATTTGGACAAGGGTACGGATGGCTTTGCTTCTGACCTTCATTTGGCCTTCATCAGTCCTTCATCCATCCCCCCTGGCTGCAAAGCTCAATGTATATCCATGTGAGAACTCTTTTTGGTATTCTTCGGCACATGAACAGACGCGTCGTGCCCGGAGTGACAAGAAGCGCTGCGTGATGGCTGTTGTAGGACAAGGCTTATATTCTCGGTTCCGCGCCGACCCCTGCGCCCGCCTCGGCGCTCTCCCGCGCGCTATCGCACCTTCCGTCGCATTCGGTGGCTACGACGACCGCGCTGACGTCTCCTAGTGGCGGTCGTATAAAATGCCGCCGTGTGCGGTGTCAGGGAGACCCCCGACTTAACCCGCCCCTCCATCGGTATCCCCCCGAGCCGCCCACCAAATATGGTTGGCCCAATCCCTCGTTCTTATACCATACCAGCTTCTGGGACAGGCTTAGCATCAGCGACATACACTCTAGCGAGCCGGGCTCCGGCTCCTGGCGTGGTGTATGCCCGTACAGTAGCAGAGCTCGACGCCGCACTCCAAGGCTTCAACGGGTACGTCGTGCCTAGCTGACCTTTGTTGATTGCATTGAATGATCTCATCATGTAGACCGTATGGAATCGACTGTGAATGGAGATGCATGCCTCAGGACAGCCGCGTTGCTCTTATCCAACTGAGCAACGGCAAGAAAGTCGTTCTCGCGCAAGTGTCTGCTATGTCTGGTATGTTCTGCTCTTCATCGTTCCCTGCAATGCTCTCAATGTGGCCCTGCTAGCATTCCCCGCACGGCTCAAGGTGCGAAGGCTTGATGTTGGTCCGTGTTCACGTCTGACGTCTTCCGGATAGGCTATCCTCGAAGACCCGAACGTCGTCAAAGTTGGACATGCCATTGAAGGTACGCACCCTGTCTGAATATCCTCCTCTCGTTCCTAACACCTCACTGCCGCAGGTGACGCCGCCAGACTGAAAGCCGACTACAACATCACTATACAAAACCTCTACAATATTGCGCCTATTGGCCTTCGCGTCGACGCCCCGTTCAGAAGAGAATACACCTCCCGAAACTTCATAGCCCTTACAACCGTCGTCGGCCACTTCCTCAAACGAACGCTTCCTAAGGGGCCCGTTAGGCAGAGCAATTGGGAACGTGTACCCTTGACAGCGGCCCAGCGCGAATGTACGTGCTCACGTCCCTTTTGTCGCATTCACGGTTTCTAAAGCTGGTCCCTGTAGACGCTGCCGGCGACGCGCACTGTGTATACGAGATATACGCCCTCCTCCGCTCGCGCGCCGCTCAGGCCGGTATACGCCTTCAAGAGTGTGGCAAGCTTCGCATCCAGGACTACCGCAAGGGCTCGTTCGAAGACAAATTCCCGCTGGAGCACCAACCCCGTCTAGAGGGCTTGGAGCCTAACGAGTTCTACGCGTACACGATGTGGGACCAAGGGTACAGCATCGCCGACATCAGGACGACATTGGTCAAGTACGGTCTGGTATCTCTACAGACCGAAGAGACTGCAATGATGTACGTCTATCGTGCTCTCGCCTCACCGTAGACTGGCAGCTCATTCTGCATCATGTAGCTCTTTGATCGTCACCACGCTCACGAAGAAGCCGGAGCTTTCCTTCGACCCGGTGATGCTACGTGCCCTCATAGAAGGCAATCCCGCGGCGTCCCATGAACATGCAACGTTCCTCGCTGAGAGGTGCCCCGTCGCTGCCACCCCTGCCGCTGAAGAACAGCCCGCTGCATCCACGTCTGCTCGTTCAACCGCAGCATCACAAAGCGCAGCAGGGAAGGAACCTTCGACGCGCAAACGCGGGCGGCAAGAGCGTGAGACTACGCCGGAGGAGGAGGAAACTCCGCGCCGGTCGGCTAAGAGAGGTGCTCCGTCTCCCTCTCCGTCGCCTGGGAGGCGTGCGGTGAAACGTGCGCGTACCATCACGTAGACTCATGCGAGCTATCTTTATCGACTATGTCTTGTATTGCTATATATTGAATATGCCTCTCTGCTTTTGTCTGCTATGATACTCTGGAACGACTCGATACTCCAGTCAGTGTTGTTTGTGTGACCGCCTTAGAGCTAGGATACGTGTCGCTGGTGCAGCCGCTGGTTCAGATCATCTGACCGCGTTTCGGCCGTCGGCCGACGAAGCCCGCGCCTCTTCCGCGGACTGGCACGGCTCAATGAGTTGCCTCTGGACCACCACCACTTCGTCTTTACTACGCGCTGGATAACCAGAGACTGAAATGCCATGCTATTTAAAGACACTCACAAGCCATAAACGCGGATCTGCGATCCACAAGCCTACACGCCAGCGGCCAAAGTGTACAAACGGAGCCCATTTCAAGATATTCCTCTCACAGACGCGATCTCTCAGAACCTTCACCGCCTCCTGCAGTGCATACGCCGCGCCCGCTTCCCCTTGTTCGACTGCACCGGTCCTCCGCAGCTCTAGCAGCTTCTTGAAGTACGCCTCAGCAAGATCGGCGCATTTGCGTCGCGTATCGACCACATCGTCGCGATCACGCCTCTGAAGCCGGAGGCGAGCATACCCAACATATCGAGGCTATTCAGATGAACGCTTCGCGGCCATCCCCGTGCTGGAAGCACCCCGCGCCAATTCGACTCTTATCACAAAGGCATATGCGGTGCAGCGTCTGGCTCACCCGCGTCCACGTCCGCAGTTGGGTGAGAACCCGCAATGGGGATAAGTCTCCGTGTGGACTCGTCCAAGCAGCGACGCGGCAAAGAGAATGACTTGTAACAGAACACAGCCGTGATCGATGTAGAGGGGCCCGACTCCTTGCGAGCTTTGCGCCCGAAACCGAAGTCGTCGACACAAGAGCCGTCGCAATGGATGGGGCCGAATACCGCCCAATCTTGCCATCGAACCTCTTCTCACGCCAACGGGATCCTGTGATTACACGACTCAAATGGCAGATGCGCGCTCCGACATAGACCCGTCGGATGCGTCCTCGGCGTCTTTGATTATTCTGGCTGTTGATTACAGCTGCGCCGCCTCGTCAGCTTAGTTGAATGCGCCGTCTCCTTCTCACAGCTGTTCCGCAGAACACGTACCTGCGTACTTTCTATTGCAGACTTACCCTTTCAGGCGCTTTTGCCTTCGAGCTGGTTCGACAAGGACGGACTCTACGGATCCTGGTGCGGCATGATCAGAGAGATTCATTTGAGTACTTCGCGCGCACCGAAATACCACGGTAATGACTCAAGCGATCCAAGAGCGGTGTCTGTGAACATTTGGCCAGCTTAAGCCTTCCTTGAGGATTTGACCCTCATAGGCTGTACCCACCTAGCGCCCACCACCTGTGGGGTTGTACTTAAAGGTGGATGCGAGATTGACGTCGACCCTTCACATCCCCGATAACTTGCCGCACAGGATGACTACACCTGGTTTTGTCTCGAAAGAGCGACTGCTCGAGATTGGAGAGGACTTTGCAGCCACCGTCAACGGACGTATCTTCCCGGTATTTGTTGAGACTATCCTGTATAGTACGTGAGCCATGGAAAGGGCTGAGCCAATACGCATGCTGACCTTCCTGGCCCCATTGCAGCACTTTATTCAGTACTCATCGTTATTCATTTCATCAAGCACAGGTACGCAATTGATCTTGCGTCATTCCGATTGAACATCGATAATGACCCAACGTTACAGGAATAATCCCCGTCATGCGCCAGGCATCTTTGCTCTCTCCGTATGGCTATACCTGCTATGCACTGCCTGCTGGGCCTTAGACTTCTCCATGATGTGCACTGACCTATACCGGTATCTTCCTGAAACCCTTTCCTCTGACGCCACGATGGCATCCGATAACGAAGAAGTCGTGAACCTCAACTCAACTCGCATCTTCGTCCATGATATTTTTGCGGGAACCGTCGTGAGTCTTACAGGAATAGAGACAAGCCATTGCTCAGCGGTAATCTGTACAGTTCGTATTCTGCGACGTGATCGCATTGTGGAGGGCGTATGTGATATACGGAAGACCTAGGTGGTTGGCAATCTGTTCTACATGTTTGTTCTCCCTATCCTTGGGTTCGTCCATGCGATGTACCATAAATGCATACTGTCTAACCACTCTCGATCATCTTCAGTTCTGTACGCTCTGGTTGGTATATTCGACATTACACAGAACCTAAGAGACGCTCCCGCCTTCGTGCTAGACGTGCATTCCACAGTCATAGCAGCCCTAGCCTTTTCAGCACTTTCGACGACCATGGTCGCGCATTGCGCTAGCACTGCACTGATTGCACGGAAAGCATGGTACGCATATCAAACCTAATACATGCAGACTCTGTCGGGAGCTCAATCTGCGCCGCGCAGGGTACATCGCCGGAGGCTACGGTGCCTCATCAATGCCCGTGTGGGCAACTCCAAAGACTACAAGCCAATGATCGTACTTTCTACGGTCATAGAGTCAGGTGTTGTTTACACATCACTCTGGTTCATATATGTGTTCTCCGAGTGGTTCAGCATCTACGGCAATAAATGAGGACTATTTTGGATGGTCCAGGTCTCGGTACGGAACCATGTACCAGGCCCTGCCATGCACTTGACGCTGAACGTCTTTGCAGGGCATGTACCCCACTCTGATCGTCGTTATAGTACTGCTGCGAGACTCGTTACTCGAGCAAAGCGCCGTAATGGGCGCTCCGCGTACGAGTATACCTATTCGCCACAGAGTCCGTGGAACGTAGAGTGTCCAGCTTCGCAGTCTATCCACCTCTCACCTCGATGCCCTGATGAAAGAACCGAGTGACCTTCCGTGATGTGCTTGCTTTGCCCACTATGAGCACATATACATGACTGTCTGGATTGCCTTCAGATGTGACATACAGACAGGCAATAGCTGTAGAGTATTCTTTCATGTCCGATGCAGAACCGGTTAATCTGGACCGGGTTCCATATCTTTCCGCAATGAACCACCCATAGATGCCGCGGAGAGCGAAGAGTTGGAAAGAGAGTCTGGCGGGGGAGGAATCATGTTGATGTGTCCTGTGTGCGATCTGTAGACCTCGTCAGACAACACGGCCAGTCTCTACAAGAAGAGGGCATACCCAGCGTCAGACTCAACTCCCGTGAGCCCCTGCGCTTGCGTGCCAAACTCAAGCGTCTCAAGTGGGCTATCCTTCCTCGCGTGCCGCAGAGTCGGTTCCATTCCGACCCAGCCACCAGCAATTTGAATGATGTGCCAGTACGAAGCACGGGCCTCGGCCGTCACTCCAAATAATCCAAAGATGGCAAAGGCGAGCACGGGAGACGTCCAATACGCGAAGTAGAACTCGGCGAGCGTCGACGGTCCAAACCCCTTCAATTCCGCATATGTAAACACGATCGGCGTCCAGTCTCCGTGTACCTTGTTCCAGCCGGGATAGAACGAGAAGCTGCCCTGGGCGATGTTTGATGATACGCTCAGCGCGATGTTCACGATGCCGATGGGTAGCGTGAGGAGGATGTCGATGCTGGCGAGGGCGAGAATGCGGAGGTAGTTGGTGCGTGTGACTGAACCGTTGCTGCGGAGGAAGCGGTTGATCTCCCGGCTTTGTCGGTAAAAGATGCGTACTACACGTGCTACGAAGCGATGGAGATATGTCAGCGGTCAACGGGAAGTGAAGCATGGGTCACGACTCACGATAGTAGAAGATGACGGACAATAGCGGTGGGAGGATGGTCCAGGATTGGATGGTCAGGTAGTACAGCACGGATCCGTCCAGGCCGTTCGTGCAACCGAAGCCCTCCAGGACCTCGAAGCGAGCGATCTGGTTCACATAGTCTACCAGCAGCGTCAGTTGCTACCGTTCCAACTTGGTGATTCAGGAGCTAGTCTTACATAGAGGACCCGCAACGAGCAGCGGGATGAAGAGGCCTAGACCCCATTCGATGATCGTATTCCGACGCGTCTGTCGAGTCATGAGTGCTTCGAAGCAAACTGAGTATAGGTGCGAAGCTCACCGCTGCTTTGTCGGGCAGCGCCACCGAGCGAAGACTTGCAATGAGGTGAAGCCGACGAGTAATGATAAGCGTTGCCATCGGCTTCACCACGAAGGTGATGTACTGGATCCGAGAGACTGCTCGTAGTGAATCAGCGTCCCGTCCCAGGTATGCAATCGGTACAACTTACCTATGTCGCAGTATACCCACAGCTTGACGTCCGCGTTGTCCGCCCAGATGATGAAGTTGGCACCGTCCGTGATATGCTCGACGAAGAGCCAGAAGCACAAGAACGTGACCCCCAGGTTCCAGCGTTGGCGGACAACATTGGTCAACATGACCAAGAACAGCATGACGGCGGAGATGAAAGTAGCCACTGGCAGCAAAGGATAGCTAGGGTCGACCGCTCGGCCCATAGTGTCTGTCGGGTTCGGTGTAGCTTACAGCTGCTTGCAAAACGATAGGCCACCGAGGGGTCCTACACATGGAGAGCCGGGCGCCACTTCGCGTCGTCCGCTCACGTGGAAATGACACGAGGCTCCGAGACGGCTCATCCGGGCTTCAACAACCAAAAGCCCAGCTTCCCTTCTGAGGCAGCGGTTTTGGCACGATATTCTTGTACTGAGGCCGAGGGTCGCAAATCGCGACAATCGGTGAATTCGTATGGTATGGAGGACTCGCAAATCAGCCTGAGCGAGAAACGCGGCCAACGCCGCGGGGGCACGTGTGGAGCAAAGCGGTGTATGTGTAGGACCCCCAAGTGGCCTATCGTTTTGCAAGCAGCTGTAAGGATTCGCGGGGCACAGGTCAAGCCTTATAGCCGAGGGTCGCGAACTCTTGACGAGTAATACGTCTTCCAATATTGGTGGCACAAATGTGATCATCACGAACAGCGTGATAAGACAGGAACTTGTTGTCCTAGCCGCAATAGAGGCGCGATCCAGCAACAATGTCTCAAAGCTTGACGCGCTCGATTGGGAAGAGCACATCCCGCGACCAGTCGAGCGAGTAGACTACTGAATGGCCGCGCCATTGCACCGAGGTACACGGAGGTGCGGTGCGGATTTGTGGCGTGATTCGCCAAAGAGTGGCTGACATGAAACAAGGTTATGTGCGTCGTTGTATTGGCTATTGGCAGCGGGCGCAATCCTGAGGACCGTTTGTGGTGGACGGAGAACCTCAAGAGGAGCAGTGCAGGGTCGTACGGGTTGATGCGCGACTAAACGGGGGAGGGCATCGAACGGCAGGTACTAGAAAGGGGATAGACGCGAAGTACATGTCCACCGACGACGAGAATTGCTTTTCGGTGCGTGCCGAAGACGTTCGGGATGGTGGACGTTCAGATGAAGTCGCGAAACGCGCGCGTCCCATCGAGCCTGGGAGCTCTCAACCAACTCTCAACTGCCACCGCCGGCATATGTACAGGCCGCTCAGTACATTACGGAGAGCCTCTACGAGTTTGTTTGGCGACATTCGGCGTGGAGAGATGGCAAGACGTCCATACGGTCATTGTCCGACAATCAGAACATATACATTTTGTGGAAGTGTGATAACAGCAAGTATGTACAGGTATGAAGTGCAGGTGCAAATGCGAACGATGCGGTGTCTGTGCGAGAGCGAAGCAAGCCTATGCGACGATATGATGTGTATGATGTATGAACAAGCTCTCAAAGACCCGTGATGATATAAACAATATAAACAAAGCCATACCGGCCGCAGGCCGACTATGACTACAATCCAGCAGCATCAAGCTGAGCTTCGTCGGGAGCCTATGCTCGGCGCGCTGCGCTGACCTCCTTCAGCAGTGCCGCAAGTTCGCCTGCAACAATCCGGACGCCTTCTTCGACCGCTGCGCGATCCCTCTCCACGACCCTCCCCAATACACGCCCCATCTTGTCCGGGTGCCACCTCCTCAGCGCGGCCTGCACCCTCGCGCGATCGCTCACACCAGTCGAGTGGACAGGTGAAAGTAGGAACTCGCGCAAAGCGTCACGGGTAAGGCCGGTCACAACAGGTGGCGCGCCAGGCGCCTCAGGCGGTGCACGCGAGGGAGGTGTCAAGACCGGCCAAAGGATTCTGCGGAACTTGAGACGCTCAGGCGGAGAAGATCCCTGCGCGTCGTACGCCGCCCAGGCCTCCTTGATCGCGCGTAACCGTTCGCGTCGCTCCTGCTCGGCTCGTGCAGCTCGTTCCTGAGCTTTCTTCTCCTCACGCTGAAGCCTCCGTGCAGCCTGCGCGAGTTCTTCCGCTCTCAATCTCGCCCGTGCTTCGGCTTCGCGTAGACGCGCTTCGGCCAAATGTCGCCGTGCTTCGTATTCCCGCGCGAATTGTTCGTTATGCGTGCGCGAGCGCTCGGAGGCCGCATGCAACCGTTCCTCAGCCGCGCGCCGGCGCGCGTCGCGTTCGTGTTCATACGAGTCTGGTCGATGTGCGAAGGGTGGCCGATGAGCCTGAGCGTGCTGGTGGGTGTGGTTGTGAGACGCAGACTGAGATTGATGACCGAAGGTCGTAAATGCGTGGGGATGCGCGTGTTGTTGAGCGTGTTGTTGCTGCTGGTATGCTGATGAAGGCACATTCGACGAAGTATGCGTAAATGATGGGGAACGTGAGTGGCCCCGACGCGACGCGCCAGCATCGATGTGTATGCTCGTCCGTCCTTGGCCTCTTTGGACGTGTACACCTTTGGCATTGCCCTGGACGCCTTGCGGGCCGACGCTGATGCGCTGGCCGCCGATCTCAACACTAATAGAGAACCTGTGTAAACATTGTAAGTTCGCGGATCACTGTTTCATAGAACAGAAGGAGAGGGTAGTCGGGAGACGTAAGAAAGAGACGTACGAGTAGGTCATGGTCCAGAGCAAAGCCTCGAGGGAATGCGGGGGTGGCGAAGGCTCGCACTGGCACGGTTCAAGTGGCAGATGGCCGTGCGGGTAAGAAATAAACGTGGGCGCCGACCACCACTCCACGAGCGCCGCACGCGGCCGGAAACGTGCCCGCGCCCCGCTGCTTTTGTTCCCAAACGTCCATGATGCAACGCGCTCGATTACCTGTACCTCGTTTTCTCACCGACGGGACACCTTCTGCGATCCACCGGATATGACGCCCAATTGAAAGGCGACATCAAGGAATATGCGCCGGCGCTTGAGATGCGAATGCACCCGTCGTCACCTCGAATTCTTGCAGAATTGCAATCCAAAAATGAGCCACGATCTGTGGCCTGCAGTGCGTATCTAGAACGACTTGAAGCCTTGAATTGCGACAGAACGAGACCTCAGTCAGATGGAGGTTTGGGACAAGCAGAGTACGGTCTTGCCTTAGACGCCCATATGCCGAAATGCATCAAACGTCGTGCCGCCCTCGTGGACGACGTTCACGCTTCTACTTCACACCCTGCGATCCTGCAAGATACACGAAGTCCCACTCTAGTTGCCCTAGATCATAACCTACTCGCATGGATGATGCAGAATCCTGTGGGCTTAGGCATCGCGTCTCTTGGGACTTGAAGCTTGAGGCTTGAGGCTGAAGCATCGAGTCTTTGCAACCATGCCTACCTTCCTCTATCCCTGCTTTCCAGAATCTGTCGTGCAACACGCCGAAGACGCTATGTGCACCAACGCGCTGCTACCACCCTTTGCTTGTTCACACTCTACGTGTTATCGCGCTCCCGGCTTGCTCCCGGCCGCTAACTTCTTGCATACAGTACTACCACGATGCCCTCGATCCAATCCATACCGCACTCATGCACTGATGGCCGTCCTTCTTTGCTGTTTGCAGTTGGCTTCACTAGCCCATGGCCCACCTTCTCCGCTTGATCCCTGTGTCTTACTTTCTCCCTCCTTCCCGCAACCGACTACGGAGAGAACTCGTGCTTCCTACGCAAAGCAGAGGTACTCTAGTATCAGACCTCAGGATATACAAGAGATCAATAAGAGATCGGCATGATCCGACCCGCAAGACGAAAGGCGCCCGTGCGTCGTTCGTCGACGCTTCGCGCGTTCTGCATACATATCCGGTCGTTCTCGTCTCTTGACATGCTGGGCATGGTCGACCTGTAACACTATGCAGGCTTCAGCAGGCGCAAGTCTCTGAGCGCTGGCCCCATTTAGGCGCCGCCACGCCGCCGTCTTCCCATCACTTCGACGAAAGCCGTACGCGTTTGACCAATAACTGGGCGCTTAGTTCCGGCTTCGGGACCGCGGATCTATATGAACCTTGACAGTTCAAAGTTGAACTTGCGGTTCGCGCTCACGTCGCCGGCGCTGCTCCCATCCTTCAGTTGCCGCAACCCGTCGTCGCCGGCGCCGCTTGCTACATCCATGGGAGACAGCTTCCCGTCTGCCGACCACGAGGCCTCAAACTCGACTCCAGACCAACCTCCCGAGTCGCCTGCCACCCGCGTCTCTTCTCAAACACATAAAGCAGTCCCAAACGAGGCGCCTTCCAAGCCGAGGAAACCGAAGCCCATCACCGTGCACCATGGGTACAGGTACTCAAACCGTTCTCGAAGGTTGCGCGCCGATAAAAAGGTCGGGGAGGCAGAGGCGAAACGCAGGAAAGAGCTTGTCCGTGAGAGTGTAGAAGGATTCAAGGAAGATCTCAGGGAGCTCAACCGGCAGCGGGACAAGGAGCGGCGCGAACAAGAGGCACCAAGGGAAGCAGAAAAGCGGAGGCAGGAGGCAGAACAGCGGTGGAAGGAGGCAGACCAGCGAGCACAGGAGTCAGAGCGGCGGTGGCGGGAAGAAGAACAACAGTGGCAGGAGGCCAAACAGAGGCGGAAGGAGGCCGCGCAACAGCAACGCGCTTGGACAGAACGCTTTACCAACGCCCTGGAGGACTACGTTCTTTGGTCTCAAGAGAAGGACTCTCGGCGTTGGCGCGATGCATGGGCCCGGTACAGTGCGCAAGGCGCATCGTTGCCTCAGCGATTGGACTTCACTACCATCGTTTGGCCTGTCCTCGACCCACCTACATGCTCGCCGCCTCAGATGTCTGATGGGCCACCCATCATCAACGGCCTTACGCGCGAGAAGCTCATGGAGTTTCTACTGTCTCCGGAGCATTCAGTTGGTGTGAACTCCAGAGCGAGGATACAAGCCGCGCTGTTGCGCTGGCATCCTGACAAGATGGCACGAGTACTGGAGATCGTTGTGGAGAAGGATAGGACCACGGTTGAGGAGGGCGTGAAGATCGTCGCTGGGGAATTGGCGACTATGTTGAGGCAGGTTAGTGAGGCACGGAGAATGTAGATTCGAGTACATGTTGGACTGGCTTTGACGATCCTTGCCTCGCGCTGTATCGTGTATACGGTTCTGCATCTTCTGACAAGACATGCTTCGCTGATTCAACCCTCGATCGAGAGCATTTTCCATGCGCATCACTAGTTTCTGTACTGCAGAAGAAGTCATATTACCTCTGATTCACCGACATTGAGTAACGTTGTTCGTTGTTGGATGCATGCGTGGCGTTAGATGCAGGTTTTCCATGGTCTCCCTTTCGATAGCAGTAGGACAGCATGTTCGCTACGAAGATCTACTTAGGAGCATGACGATACTGTATTCAGCCACTGAGGTGGGAGCCAAATGCGAGTCTAGAGTCTAGACGCGCCGCGGCAGCACTCGCGCTCCCGAGCCAGCGCCTTTGTTTCAAACCCCCATCATACTCTCACGACACGACATTGTCAATGCTATTTCCTTCCCAGTATGCTTTGACGGTAGCGGTGGGAAACTCACGCGCTATTGGCTGAGAGCGGCTCTCCCCATATGGATCTGGTTTTGTTTGCCTGATACTGGCGTTGGACGGGAGGATTTCTCGCGTGGCTCGAGAAATACAAGAGCAAGTTTCGCAGGGTCACCGACGCTACTGTACGATGTTTCCCAACGTATGTGTTTTACGAGCCATGACGTGCGAGTATTGATGTCCTCGATTGCTAAATGTCATGTCACACAGCGTCGGTCGCGTCTGGGCTCCTAGGCGCTTCCTGTTGGACCAACGACAGCCAACGACTCATAATCCGTTTCCTCTCGGTGCCGAATATTCCAAGTGACTCCGGCGAGACGACTCATACTCGAATTATCGGCATTTAAACCCTCGCGCCGGAGGATAATCGCCAGTGCTCTACGTGCGCTCTACCACCACCCACTCACCCACCCACCCACTCGCGACTCACTCACACGTCATGGATCAGTACCCATGGTCCCAACAGCCGCCAAACTATCAATCATTATTCGAACAGTCTTTCCACCACCCATCCACCAATTTCAATTACCAGTCTTCTGTGGACGACGCGGCGAACATCTTCGCCAGCGTCTTCGAGCGCCAGGCGAGGGAGAGGCGACACCAGCGGCCAAATTTCGACGAAATATGGAATGAGCATTGGCGCCAGACGGAGGAAAGATGGCGCAAGCAGGACGAACAGTGGCTAAAGCAACAGGAGGAGTTGAACCAGGTGCTGGAGAAGCAACGTCGTGAGGCCGAAGAACAAAGGAGGCGTCTGGACGAGGAGTCTAAGAAACGGGCTGAGAGACTGCGCAAGAGCCAAGAAGAAGCGCAGAGAGCCATAGATAATCTCAAGCGATACTTCCAAGAGCTAGCGGATCGCAGTGGGCAGAAACAATCACGGCCGACGTCTAGCGTGAAGCGCGTCTGGGAGGTCTATCAAGCCCCGCATTCGTCTCTACCTCCCCATCTCGAGTTCCATACCATCATCTGGCCGGTCCTGGCCCCTCCCTCACGAGGACCGCCCAGGACGCCTGGGGGACCACCTATCATAGGAGGTCTTACTCGCCATGCTTTGAGGGAATTCATCCTTTCGCGCACACATTCTGCAGGCATGACCGATAGGGCAAGAGTACAAGCTGCCCTCCTACGCTGGCATCCCGATAAGATGGGGAGAGTGATGGAAAGGGTTGCCGAACAAGATCGTGAGGCCGTTCAGGAGGGCGTGAAGATCGTGGTTGGAGAACTGGCCGTGCTTCTGAGGGAGGTCAGTCAGGCTCGGACCACATGAAGGACTGTCGAACTAGTATGTGTCTGCGCATTGCGGTCCTATACTCGTTACTGATCTCTCATGAGGTAACCAGGCGATCCTTGTCCAAACCGACTCGCACTCAATCCCGAGGTTGTGGCAGTATACGCCTGCGCATATGACATGTTCATGTACCATTACTCTACCCCAAATATCCTGATTGTCTCCGTTTGTGACAAATCCAAATTCTTTATCTGTTGGCTTGACGGCCAGAGAAAGCTCTCGACAGTTCACCACTTGCGAATCTCGCGGTTTCTGTATCCGAAGCGTCGGCTGCACGGCTCATAACTTGGGATCATATCTAGCATAGCATATCTACAGTTAATCCATTCCGAGCTCGCTGGTCATGGCGAACACATCCTTCGCCGAAAAGAAGTCAAAGGTATCTATTTCTCAGTGCAATCCAAGAGCCTCTCGTCGCGACAACGACTTTGGGTCAAAGTAAGGCCTCTCCCCGATGCTAACCACTCGCAATCCCTGACGCAGCTGACTCCCATAGTCATTCCTGATCAGAAGTACATCAGCCACGGTCTTATACGCGTAAAAGTGACAGACAGAGCTTACGTCGCAGTATGTAACGCGGCGCGATTGTCCCAGATAGCGAGGTCGTTTTTGCTCCAGCGGTACCGTACTTGGAAGTCGTGGTTCTCGGCGATGTGGCGTGCAAGATACGCGAGAACGGCCTCAGACTCTTCCCCGTGTAACTCCATGATGCGCGTGGTGAAGCTGAGTATGTAATCAGTACCCGAGATTGAATCCATGTAATATGCGTTAACTTACACGCTGTTGACGAAGAGGGCTTTGTAGTTCGTTACGGGATGAGTCCTGATTACAGGGCTACATGAACTGATCAGCATGCCATAACAACAACGTCCAATATCGAATGCACGAAACTGGATAGACATGAGCTCGGAGCCCGTGTTCTCAGGAGAACCGCGTGGATCTTGGATTTTGACGCCGAGCTGCTTAGCTTGCTAGGGAAAAGTTCATATCGTACAGTTGAGCAATGGCAGTTGGCGCGTACGTCGAGGAAGAATGCGCCGCTGTGAAGTGCGGTCAAGCCTTCGAGGAACTTAGCGAAGTAGGGCGACAATCGATCATAAGCTTCGTAGCAACTGTGCCCAAGCGCGTCAAGAACCGCCGAGTGGATGCTGATGAGATTCATAGATAACGCACCTGGACCACTAGAAACGCCCCACACGGACTGCCTCAGTACACGTAAAACGACAGATAGCAGGAAGATAGAGATACCAGAGTATCACCCCCGGCTGCGCGCGCACATGTTAGCCTTGCGTTCGGGTTCTGAACGCCATCTTGATACGCACTGGGAGGTAATGTGACCATTTTCAATAGAGAGTAGTCTGCCGGTATGGGTTCGAATGTGATATCGCTATGCCATCCACGGCTGGCCCGTTGATGTTCTACGATACCGCCGCGTGCAATTCCTCTGAGTGATAGGTCAGCGATAAGCGAGAAGTTGTTCACGATCGGCCACGAACCCTTCGGACGAGATAACCGACGTGTCTGCTCCCAATTCAGCGGTATCTTCAGAGATCGGATGTCTGTGCAGGCCAGAAGTCGAAGGGTTGCCAGTTAGCTTGCCCATACGGAAGCCAAGCTCTTTCTGCTGCTCCAACGTGATATCCTGGTTCTCGAAGAAGACTACGCCCCGGTGAGAGACGAGCGTCGCGAGGTCTTTGATCAACGTGTCGGACTCAGCACGAGGGCCAGAGAGGAACCTGGAGAGCTGGACGGATGCGGGAAAGCGGGTGCCAATCGACGGAGTGTCATCGCGGCTGGGGAATGCGCTTAGGGAGCCTTGAAGCGGGGCAGACGGCGCGAGTGACAGGTTTGTCGACGTGCCGTGCGTTGCCGCCGTGGCTAGATAACGAGAAAGCGGCTGGACGCGGGCTCGTTTTGCGCAACGCAGAATATGTGCGACCATCTTATGACAGAGAAGAGGCAGGTGGTGGTTCAAGAGTAAATTGACGGACGATCGAGCTGCAGCCAGGGGCGACGGGGGGAAGTGCCTGTCCGTTCATATTTACCCCGCACTTAGACTCTTTATCATTATCTGACAAGCGCAGAGCTGACACGTGCGGATGGCGTTCTTCGATAACGGTAGCATTCGTGCAGGCATGTAGAATAATCTGGACCGAGCACCTCAGATAAAGCGCCGATGGTGGAAGCAAGTCGTAGCGCAAGGTTGACGCGAGGCTCGCGAGCCAAATTGCAAACTTGCCGCGGCGAGGCGGCTTCCCACGCCCTCGCCGCGCGCGGCGGGCGAACAGCGGTGAGCTCGTCTATGTAGCTCGCCATACCGTACGCACGGCGCCGCCAGGATACACAGAGTGCGCACAAGAAGCTTGATATCTAGCCCTGAATCCGCCGCTCATTTGTTTGTTGCCAGCCTTGGGCAAGTATTCGTCCCAGTCTACTCGCGGATTGCCGCGCGCGCGGCATGCGTGCATCGGTGCATACAACACGTTTATATTCTGCTACACTACGCTGTACAACGTGGTTCATTGACCGCGTATTTATACTATCAGCTCGTTGTGAGCGAGGCTATCTGGAGTCGATGTGGTGAGCTTCTCTGGCGGAAACTTTGCGCTCATGACCGACTGCTCTATCTTCTGCTCGCATCTCAGGTCCGTGAATGCTTGGGACATGTCAGGGCCTTCCGGAGAGCTGTGAGACAACTCCGCCTGGTAAGCCGATGCGATTGCCGGGATGACGATGTCTATGGCACTCGCACGAGAGGGAACGTAGACGCTTCGCTCTACGATCGACCCATGCGCCGAAGCGAGCATGACAATGAGAGTCGGATACATTGCCTATACGCATGTCAGTACATCACACTACAGCCATGCCAAGTCAAGTACTCAACTGATAGGGTGATCATATAGTATCCCGACCAGTAGAATGCCGTGATATCATGGGCGTTATATGCCCATATGAGCACGAACCAGATCTACCATCGATCGAAGTTAAGTGGAGAATCGTCAATGGGAGAAGAAGGATCAACTGACCCAAAGCGCGGCGTAGATGAGTCCCGTCTCCACAATCAGGACAAGTATGTGGATGGTTCGTCGCGAGTTAGTGGGCCCAACGAACTCCTTGATCTCCTTCCAGTGCGACCTGCGTGTTCATCATCAGTTCCCACGGGTTGCGTGCACCGACTCTGCATCGACCCACCATGCTTTGTAGCCGATCATGGTCGAAGCAAACACCTGACAGGCTGTCGTAGAAGCTGCCACAGTCACGTACAGAGCCTTGACCACCACTTCGAAGTGCACCTCGGATTGATATTGACCCACGTATTGTGTGGCGTCTATGAAGCCCGCAGAGCACCCTGGGAGATGACTTAGTACTGACGCATTCCTCATCAATGGTTGAGCGCTGTGGCGGACTAACCTGTCTCAAGAAGGCCCGTGAAGATCAATAGGCACAACAGCCACTTCGGTCTCTGATACACGATGTATACTCTCCACAGTGTGATTAAGTCGCTCATAATGTACTACAGAGAGGCTATCAGAGATTGGAATGATCGAGTACGAGCGAGGATCACATACGATTGCCTGTGTCAGCAAGTTCTCCGCTAGTTGCACCCCGTCGAGTACCCGGAGAAAGGAGGACTTGATTTCCGGGTCGGGAGTAATTGACAGCTCGTAGGCTGTGCCTCGATACAGGTACTGACTCAGAATGACTATGTCAAGAGCCCACATTCCGGTTGCCAGCGTGTACATGCAGAGGGCCAGTCCTAGCGGCCATATCGATGTTCCGCGACGAATTGGCCAGCGTTGGAAGAGGAAGTAGACCAGCATGACAGTGAATATTGCTGACGATATATTCGTCAGTCATAACATGACCCAGGCGTAGACAAACATACGTACACGTCAAGGCCGTCTCAAGAAGAAGAGGAAAGGCGTGTTCGGAGGCGGCTTGAGTTACGAAGGTGAGGGCCTTCTCGAAGCGCGCCTCTGCGTCACTGGAGTTGGTCGACATATCTGTGTGTCAGTGGGCCTCAGGCTACTTTCCTGAGCTTTATTATACTAACATCAGGCGCTTGATCCTTAGCGAAGATCCACATCGGGATCGAGGGTTACGTTATTGACCAAAGCATGTAGGGTAGTGTGCGCTTCGAGAGTAATGCAATCGGGACTCGGGCTTTGACCAAACACCCGAGTGGAGATGGCTGAAGCGGTGCACAGTCAAGTTCATCATAGTGAATCTTTTTGTTGAGGGGATGAAACTCCTTGGGGATAGGAAGCTATCAAGGCTCGTTGCGACCATGGGTGCAAGCAAGAGTGGATCGTGGTTTCAGAGTGTCGCATCGTACGCCTCGAGGAGATGGCGCCACATCGTCATGCCGTAGAACGAGATAGCAGCGTACGGTCAGACCGATAAGAGAGAACAGAAATATCTTGCTATGATACCGCACACAGCAGTACTGGTCCCAGCGTTGTCCCGGGTTGATGGACGGGAATGACGAGCGAGGCGGCCGGAGACTCGACGCTGAGCGCTGGAGATTGTGGCTGCTAGCGTAACCCTCAGCAATGCACAGCCTTCAGAGGAGATACAAAAGTCGTACCTCAGCGACGTCGACAAACTCTTCCTGAGAATGGGAAGCTGGCGCGGAATACCACGGAATGTTGCATAAGGTCAGGGATAGGCATATCAGCGAAGATCGTCATGAGCGTGCAATGGTGGTACTGCGCAGGAATCCTCCAGAGAAATGCATGCGGCGGTGTTTCAGAAGCCTTGGTCCTATTCTCGGGACCAACAGATAGGGCAAAGCGACTTTAATCTCTACATGAAGGTCGACAGCGACCAGCACGGCGCATCACTGGCCGGTGTCTAGCGATCGGGCCGGTACACCGAAGCGCCGGCGCCCTACGGCTGGTTGATCGCTTGACTCCCACCACCATCGCCCATCTCCCATGCTGTCTCCGTCTTCGCATCGACACCACGCTAAGCTTCCAGTGCTGCATCGCTTTCAAGATATCAGAAGCTTTTGGAGATGTCGATGAGAGGATCGCCCGCCGTGGAGGAGGACGAATGAGCGAGCGAGCGAGTGCGCGATTTGGGTGTTTAAAGGCGGCGATGTGGTTGGACGTCTAATGGAGTAGATGAGTCTGCCTACGGGAGACTAGTTGGACGGGGCGGGCGAGGAAAGATACTTGTTGCCTCCACTCCCTGCATCACTCCCGGGGTCCGAGGCTTGCTTCATCCTCCGTGTGCGGTAGCCAAGCTGCTTAGCCACGAGGACTTAGTACAGTCTCCATACCTCTGGGCGTTGGTGGCATGGTCTGAGAGGAACAAAACCGAGGATAAATGGTGTTTGTCATTTGTGCCGCATATATTGTTGCATCGAAGCCGTACAGCTTGTGACGTGTATCACTTTATGCTTAAAGTTGAACTATGTGTAGCATCAACTGGAATGGAGTAATCTACCTTCGTGAATGCATGGAGCGCCAGTATCGTTCAGAAGGACGCATTGCAAGCGTGAACGGAATGAATCATGCAACACCCATGCAAACATAAGTATGCTATGGAAATATCTATTTGACACTCGCCAACTTGGCGCTTATTCGCTCGCATTTCCGCTCATACTCCGACATGCCACCGTCCAACTTCTTCAACTTCCCGGCCGCGACCAAAAGCACTCTCCCCGCTGGTGAAGTAGCGTCGTCTTCATCCCCGCTACTTTCATCCTCGTCTTCGTCCTCTCGAACTTCAAGAGGTTCCCCCTCCACAACCGTTTTCACGAAGTACCGATCGTGGCTTACTATAAGCAGCGCTCCCTGATATCCACGAAGCGCGCGGGCAAGCGCGGTGACAGTGTCTGCGTCGAGATGTGAGGTAACCTCATCCAGTACGAGGAGGTGCGGTGGGGTCACAAGTAGACCTGCAAGCGCCACCCGCACTTTCTGGCCACCGGAGAGCGCGGCAAGAGACACGTCGCTGGCTGTTCGCCCAGATACTCCGAGTCCTCCGAGCAGCGCCCGCGCCTGTTGCTCCGGAAGACCGTCGCCACGACCTTGTATCTCTCTAAGTGCCGTCAAGGTCGGGTCCGCCACGCCACGCCGCTCAAGCTCTTCGACGATGTGTTGAGAGAAACATGCGATACGCGCGCGAGGGTCATGAGAGACACTACCACGCGATGGTCGCAGCCCGTCAGAGTGACTTGGGCCAAGAACGAGTCGGATGAGGGTACTCTTTCCCGCGCCGTTGAGACCGACGACACCGATGCGCTCGCCGGGGTGCACCACAAGAGTAGCTTCCTGCAAGATGGGCTTCACGCGGGGCGTGTAGGAGAAGGATACGTTCTCGAGCGATACGAGACTGCCAGCGATGCGTGTCTCTGGAGGGCGTGTCGGTAGTGACAGCTTGACTGGCGGGTCGAACTTTGGTATCTCGATCTCGGCGCGGTTGGTGAGATGGAATCCTGGCAGGTCGCGGTTGAGCTTGAACCGGGTGCCTTTCGCGCTGACTTCAAGGCCCGAACGCTCTTCCAGCTTCTTGCGGCGAGACGCGGCCTGCTTGAGCTTCTTGTCATCTCCAGTACGACGCGCTGCTTGGATGTTGCGCTCAATCGTTGATTGCATATGCTTAGCTGAGGCGTCCTGCGCATCCTTCATGCGCGACATGTACTTAGCGTGTTTGTGTCGCTCACGCTCATACGTCGAGAGGTTGCCAGCGAAGGGAGTTAAGGTCTGTTCGCGCAGGACGAGCAACGTAGAAGCGACTGCATCGGCAAAGGCTCGGTCATGAGTGCTATGTGCGGACGTAAGTCGTCGTATTGCAATGTCAACTTGATAGTACTCACACAGCCACGACAGTCTTATCTGATAAGCCCTCGATGTATGTCTGTAGCCAGATGATCGCGGGCAGATCGAGGAAGTTCGTGGGCTCGTCCAGGAGAAGCACATCGCTGGATTGGAACAACGCGCCAGCTATCAAGCAACGCGTACGCCATCCCCCGGACAAGCTTGTGAACTTGCCATCGATGGCCTCCTGCTTGAACCCAAGACCTCGAAGGATCAACGTCGCTCGCGCATCTGCAGAGCTTGAGTCTATCGCAGCCAATGTGTTCTCGACGGCCGCCAATCGATCCGATGCAGCAGAGGTTGCTTGAGCCACTTCCTCCGGCGCGAGCTCATCATCTGGGCGCGAGAAGGAGGTCTCAGCGGCCTGCACTTCTCCCTCGAGGACCTTGAGCTCTTTGCGCGCCTTGATGCCGCGCGCTCCACTCCTGTATGCGGCTACCTCCCGCGCTTCGGCCAGGCGCAACTTGAGATCTCGTAGCACCAGCGCTCGCTCCGCGCGAACTAGCGCATATGCGTCATCTGAAGATTCAAATGCGGCTGAAAGGGCTGCACGAAAGACGGTCAGAGATGATTCAAGTACTTCGGAAAGAAAGAACGGACTCTTCTGGTCTGCGAGGAGCTTCTCGCGGTACTTGTCACTTCGGATGACATGTCGTAGCACCGTTTCGTCCCTTTCATCCTTGCTAGCTGCTCCTGCGACCTCGAGACTGTGTTGACTGAGGAGTAGTATCCTGATGCCGCTGGGAACGCCCGGGATCTGACCATCCGCGAGAGCACGGAGTAATGTCGACTTCCCGCTCCCGTTACGCCCGACCAGTACGTAGTGTTCGTTTGCTTGCAGGTGCAAGTCTGCATGTGACAGTAGCTCGCGTTGACCCAATGCGAGGGTCAGATCCTTGATGTCTATCTAACCGCGTGTCACTTTAGTACCGTGAGAGTCTGCATGAGTGCAATAAATCCCTACATCTTTGCTGGTCGGGTCGTTGTTGGCGTCCTTGTGGAAGCGGCTCTGCGCGACAGAAACCGAGAGAGTCGCAGTCTGTTGAACTAGGTTATCCATCTAGTGCGCTCGGACAATGGGCTCTCGCAGGGATGTAGTGGGCGGTTGACGATAGAATCAAGAAGTACACAACGATAAAGACTGTTCGATTGGGTATGTCGCGATCTAAGGAACACGTTCTCGCCATGGTGAATGCCATGGTCAGAGTCAATGAACGTCGACCCTGCGGCACCGACAATGCTCGCGGCAAATGCCGAGCAAGGCACAACGGCCCCACCGCCAGATTCGAGCCGAGTACATAGCTGACCCTTCGCAACTCTGTATGTAGTCTTGCCTCTGGGACCTTCTGGAGAACGAGTGAGTCTAGCGTAGTGAAGCGTAAATAGCCGGGTATGCAGTAATGATTACATCTGTACTAATCGAATGATATATATTGGAAATAAATAAACATCGAACATGGTCCACTCAATCGACGTAGACTTCCGTCCCGGGTTCGTACCTTGCACGAGGCTTGTATTTGATATCCCTGCGCCTAACACTCTCGTGGAATAGTGGAGGTGCATTGTCCGGTACACCACGGCCCTCTCCCAGGTGTATACTAGACGGATTGTGTCAGATATGTATCCATGACGCAGCGCATCACGGCATACCTCCACTCAGCCGCCCACTTGTTCGACGATGATCTCTGCCAGGTATACTTGGTCGGTACGACCTCCAAGATCCACCAGATAGGCTTGCGCTTCAGCTCGTCGTGAATGGGCTGCATCACCTCGCTCATGTCCCGCTCGCTCTGGGCCGTCTGCTGGACTTCTGAATGCCCGGAAGACCCAGATGCCGAGGCATTGTCTGCGGCGCCTGCAGAAGATCGTTCCACCTTGATACGACCGGGCATCGTGAAGTCGTGCAATGTGCGCTGCTTTCCCTTGCTCGAAGAGGGACGGGGATTGAAGATGTCGGCGATGGACTGTGAGATATTGTTGCGTGAAAGTTCGCCGCTGTCAAATAATAGACCACATTGAGCCTGTATAGCCTCCTTGACCATCCACCGTAAAGGGATATCGGAGAGCGCAAAGTCGTCCGTATCGGGAGTCGAACCTCCTCCCACATCTATCGACACAACTGAGTCACCTCTTGCTGAAATGGAATAGAAAACGGACTCGCTCACCGCCATGGCATCCTGCAAACCATACCTCCTTCACGTCGGTTTTGAAGATGGCGTCATCATTGGCTTGGGGAAGTCTATGATCATTGATCATGTCGTGAACGACCTTCAGAGATCGCCCTTTGTCCTTGGAGAAGAAGCGTCTCCAGCGCGAATGGGCGTCGCGCACCATCGTGCCCATGTGCGATATGGGCGCCTGCACAGCCTCGCCATTCGGGCGGTGATAGTAGCTGGCTCGGAACCTCGCGCGCCGTTCGTCAAGGGCAAGGGCGTGGCGAAACGTCTTGATCGTGGTATTGGTCGTCACGAATGGGAGCGACCTTCGAGTGAGTACGCCAACACTGGCCACCGTATCCCTATGAAACAAGTCATCTCAGTTGAATTGATCGAGCGAGGCATCTGGGCAACGTACCATACGCCGATAAACTCAATGGGCACAGACCGACAGAATGTGCGCTTGAAGCCGGCAGCTATTGGTCCTGAGTCGGGATTGTTGGACTTGTAGAGCTTGTACGCAAATGACAGCTGCGCATCATTGTCTTTCGAGAGAAGGCCAATCTGGTAAGCTTTCATCAGTGTCGAAATACTTCGGTATCTTGAAAGGCTCACCTTCAGCAGCATCCCCGCAAGTGCTCTCGCCGTATACGCTCCTCGCGAAAAGCCTGGGCGAGTTCAATAAATCTGATCAGGTTGCGGTGTATCGCCGAGTAACTATGACGTACCGAATATGCAGACCTTATCACCGACGTTGTAGTTCTGCATCAAGAACTTGTAGCCGTCGAGCCTGGGCAAGCACATGCGCATGAGCGCTTTTCGTATATGACGTCCTAAAGCCACACTGACACGTGTTGGGAGAGATACCAAGCAATGGCCATATCAAGTCCGGTAGCCCACCATCGAAGGAACGGGGATACTACGCCAGGCTGGAAGTACGTCCCAATACCTGGCTTTGGGTCAAATTAGCTCTATAGTGACACGACTGTCGCCACCAAGGACTCACCTGGTAGTAGCATATTTGCTCATCCGTCTTGTCCTTCTTCAGCAGAGAGTAGAACTTGACAACGTTTGTGTTCTGCGAACGTCACTTAGTATAGGTGGATGACGGATCTGTCAAGTAAACAATGGTTTACCTCTGTCCCGTATTCGTTGGAGGTTCCTGATCAACTACGTCAGATTGATCTCTGAACGCGAGAGCGGCGAAGACTGACCGTCAAAACAGAGCACGATGGTACGTGGCTTGCGAACGAGACCCAAGCTGTCCTTGGGCGTGGGCGGTACTACAGATACCGAAGTCATGAGGGTGCGTTAATGGTCGTGAGAAAGCGGAGGTACGGAGAAAACAGAAGGAAACGCGCGATCGCGGAGAGGGAAGAGGAACGGGGCGAAATCAGAGGCGGAGAGCTTATATCCCGAAGGGGGCCGAGCGTGAGCACCTGGTGAACACGACGTGATATCACTGATGGCGGGACGTGGGGGAGGTCTTGTGTAAGAAAGCTATGCCGTTCCCTTCGCCGGTGGAGCAGAAGCGAGGACAGGCGCCGTGACGAAGAAGAACCAAAGTGGAAGATGGAGATAGTGCAGTGTATGGTCATGAATGGCGTGAATTCACATGCGACGTGTATCGTATCTGTATTCGTAAAGTAATAGTATAGTAGGTTTGCGGCACAGGTGGCACAGGCAGCACAAATCCAGATACAGGGGAGTGCAGCGCGACTCCGCTAGAGCGCTGTTGGATTCTTCATCGCATTCGAGGAGCTAGATCATAGGCGGGACTCAAGTTCCGAAGCACAATAGCAAGATGGAGAGACGGCATCGCACAGCGGGTCGCTCATAGGCGGGCCGCTAGAACTCAAGCGTAGATGGCTTGCTCATATCCTTCTGGGGCGGGGAGCACACTGGTGTGCGCAGTCGTTGACTACTCGTCGTTCCACTTGTGCTTGCCCGAAGCATATCGGGCCCGTGGGGTGTAATTGAGCTCGGGATCGTTCATGCGTACTCGAACACTCTCATGAAAGATCGGGGGATCGCCATTTCGATCGGGGATCCCTCGTCCTGCTCCGAGATGCATACTGTGAACGACTGAGTCAGCCAAACAGGCAAGAGATACGTGTTCAGGATACTAACCTCCATTCGCTGATCCAACTGTCGTCGGAGGATTGCCTGGAAGCCGGAGTCAAGTAAGCAAGGGCGCAATCTAGACGCGGAGTTTGCGCACCACATGAACTTCGTGGGCATCAATTCTAGAAGCCACCAGGACTTGTGTTCGCGTAGCTGGTCGCTGATGGGCTGTTTGGCAGCCTCGATCATCCGTTCGTCCAGCTCAGTATGTTCTCCTGGATCCGACATGAAAACCGATTCGTGCGTCGAGCTATGCGTATCCAAGTTGAAGCGGGGCCGTTCTTCAGCGGGAGAGGTTGCAGCGCGTCGCGGTAGGAAGTCATGCAGCGTGGCTTGAGGACGAGAGTGGCTACTGCTACTCGCAGTACGCGGCTTGAAGATGTTGTGGGTGGGAATCCTGAGTCGAGCAAGGGCCTTGCTATCGAAGAGAATGCCGCATTGCGCTCGCATAGCCTCGTGTACCATCCAACGCAAGGGGATATCTGCGAGCGAAGCCTCATCCGTGTCCGCGGCAACACCTCCGCCAATATCTAACACTATTAGGTCGAATGGCCGTACTGAGTGACAAATACACACCAGCATGTCCACCTGCGAACCAGACTTCCCGGACGTTCGTGGTGTACGAGTCACCACCTTGCTCGACGATGGTGGGTTGGCTCGGTAAGGGTTTCCGACGTAAGGTGAGCTGGCGCTCTTGGCTCACACGCTTCCAGAAAGAGGGCTTGATCTTCGACGACCCGTCGGCAGGCGCCATATCTTCAGTCACGTCCGAGAAAGAGCGCATGAGGGTCGTCGTGGCCCGCCTCATCATCGATGGTTTGGTGGATGTAGCAGGCCGTTGTACGTCCCCGGCTAGCTGCGGAGCAGTGTGTTGGTAGTAGCTGGCACGGAACTTCGCACGTCGTTCATCCAAGGCGAGCGCATGCCGAAACGTCCTGATAGTGGTATTGTTCGTGACGAAAGGCAGCGTCCTCCGGGTGAGGAGGCCAACACTGGCCACGGTGTCCCTAGACGCAGGTTCAGTACAGTCGTAGTGAAAGTCATGGAATCGGACAAACCAGACCCCAATGAACTCGATGGGCACCTGCCTACAGAATGTCTGCTTGAAACCATCCGCTATAGTGATCGATTCCTCGAGTTCCGACTTATATAGCCGGTAGGCAAACGGCAATTGAGCATCATTGTCTTTCGACAGCAAGCCAATCTTGGAAATAGCGTCAAATGGAATCCAATGCAGGTCTACTTGAAAAGTGTACCTTATGAAGCATCCCAGCCAGTGCTCGCGCGGTGTACGCGCCTCGTGAGAATCCTAAGCAGCGCTGATCAATCACACTGTAGCATCAACCATTTACGAAAGGCGCGCTCACCGATGAAGCACACTTTATCGCCGACCTCGTAGTTCTGCATGAGAAACTTGTATCCATCGAGTACATGCTGAGACAGATACCAAGCAATAGCATTGTCAAGAGCAGCTGCGCCCCAGTGAAGGATTGGCGACACGACGCCGGGCTGGAAGTACGTCCCGATGCCAGGCTGAGAACGGGTAAGTGTCCGAAGGCATCGGAAGACTGAAAGATCGTACCTGGTAGTAGCAGATCTGGTCCACTTGACAACCCTTCTTCAGTAACGAATAGAACTTGACGACGTTGGTGTTCTGAAGAGGCAATGTTAGGCAAGATGTTGAGAAGATGAAGGATTAGCGGACCTTCGTGCCGTACTCATTGGCAGTACCTTGAGGCAAGTGGTCAGTATACAGAAGTACGTGCAATAGAGTTTCCCATACCATCGAAGCACAGAACGATTGTGCGCGGCTTGCGCGCGAAGTCTCCTATGCTTCGCTTAGTTTCAGTGGTTGGGATGTTCGACGTCATTGTGAAAGGTATCATCGCGGGCCTGCGGGAGCGAGCGCATTTATATGTTTTGCAAGACTCCCGATGCGGGCAGGTGCTACAGGCGCAGCCCCGAGCGGGAGCGTCAGAGTATGACAACCCATCAAGAAGCTATTCGGTCGGCTCAGAACGCTGTGGGCTTCACACCCAAGCTGTATTGTCGCGGCCGTCACGGAACAGCAATCCGTGCCCCGTAGCAGTGGCCAAGCAAGAGCACCTCAGAGAGAGCACCGCATGAGAGTCCTAGCGGCGTGTTGGTTGCTTGATGCGGGCAATAATCGTTCAGCTGATCCAAGAACGAGTGATGACGGTACCTGCGGCGGTACCGCTGACCCAGACAATGAATGTTTCATAGGACTAGGAGACCACGGCGAGAGTGACTGCTGTATACACTTTTTCTTGCCATGGTGGTCGAGGACGAAACGCGAGGCGGTGCCGTTGGGTTGCCGGACTGATGGCCCTTACGAGATGGTCATGACAAAGAAGCAACTACGTCAGTTGATTGAGGAGTCTTCCCGAGCCTGATTGAATACTTTGTTCTCGACCACCATTAGCTTCTGTCGTATACGTCCGTGTGAACACTGATACCATGTCGCTGGTCAGTGCTCGTACTGGTGCTTTGTTCTGCATCGTACCTGACTCGTCGTCATGTACAGATCCACGCCCTCGTTGCACAGGGCTCGACTATACTCGCAGAGCATGCGGCAGGCCAACGGGACTTCTCGCAAGGTATATCTTCTTCTTTTCACCTACCATGCCTGTTTCTGACCTTTCGCTAGCAACACAGACTATCCTATCTAAGATACCTCCGAATAACAGCAAGCTCACCTATGTTTGGGAGCAATACTTGTTTCATTATATCTCAGAAGATGGCTTCACCTACTTGACTATGGCGGATGATGCCGCAGGCAGGTATGATACTCTATCGACTGTTGGATCTGCACACTGATTGCCAACATAGGAGGATGCCATTCACTTTCTTAACCGAGTTGCAACGCAAGGTAAGCCTTATCGTAGATTCTTCCTGCACTCTAATACCAAATTCGCCCTAGTTCTTGTCCGGCCCGTCCTCGTCTTCGGCACAACAGGGTGCTCCGAACCCCCCATATGCATTCCAGGGCTCGTTTGGTCCGACCATTGCAGAACTCATGCACCAATACAACACCGCGCCACCCACGGACGAACTGCAGCGTGCACAAGCGGAACTCGCACAAGTAAAGGACATCATGGTCCAGAACGTCGAGCAGATACTTTCTCGGGGCGAGCGCATTGAACTGCTTGTGGACAAGACCGACAACATGGCTCACCAGGCGACTGCGTTCCGACGGGGCGCACGGCAAGTCCGTAGGCAAATGTGGTGGCGAAACAAGCGTGTTCTCGCGCTCGGGGTCCTCGTAGCAATCGTGCGCATGATCATATCTACTCGGAGATTCGTGAGCTTACCGCATCCGCAGGTCATCTTGTACATCATTCTTGCCCAGTTCTGCGGTGCTGCCCTCCACTGTACTGCTTAGCGTGCTACCTCTTCTCCGCTTTCCTTCCTCTACTCCCACGATCTTAATGAACGCTCTCCGCATGTCTTCCCTGTATTCTACGTGTGTCCGATCTACTCGATATAACCGAGGGTTCACGTACTGCGACGTGCTTCGCGACCTCTCGCGCTTGAATTCTATCTCGACTGAAAGGGGAGATTTCATGACCGCAGACGGACCTCCTCAAGGTTTGGGTCTGACATACCTATCACTCGAGGCGGCGCTCTCATTTGCTCCGTCCGCTAGCTCATACCGGCGAAGGTTAGAGGAATGCCGGCCGTGGCATCGCGAACGTTCCGCCGTTCTTTCTCCAGATGAATCTGGGAGTCTGGCGCCCACTCACGTACGAGCTTGACCACAGGCGCGCGAAGACTTTCCTACATGGCAACATGCAAATTGGTGGAAGACAAGTATGACGGTGGTTTGAATGCGAGCGTAAAGTACAATGAGGCGGAACGAAGTATGCTAATCCAGCGCGGAAGGCTGACAATAACCGCGATATAAGTACAGGAAGGGATCGTCCATTCGGCAGGCGGAGGACTACATTCAATTCGGCGGAAGAAACGGGAAGAGGGCGGCATAAGGTTTGTAACTGCAAAGCGGGAAACAACGGGGAACGATAACATTGTAACGAAAACAAGGCGAGCGCGCGGACGACACGTTGTGGCCAACCCTTCATAGAAGCCGCACTGCATGCGTACGGAGAGTTGCTAACTCTGCTTGACAGACGTTGAGGCCACGGTGCCGGGAGGCAGCAATGATTAGATTATGCTTCGGAGTCGATTCCCGAGGTCATTGTGGGCCGCCACACGCGCGTAGCCTCCACAGGGCCGCGAGCGCTCGACGCTGAGTCGCGGCGCTCGAGGAAGCGGCGAGGATGCATGGGTGTCTGGTCGAACTTGAAGCCAGTCTGTTCACTAGTCGGCGTACCCTGCGCAGACTGTGTAGGTGTGCCCTGACCCTCCGCGCGACGACGCGCACGCTCGATCTCGAACTGACGGGCTGCGGAGCTAGCGCGCGAGACGAGCATCGGAGGCGGCGGAGGCGGTGGAGGCGGAGGAGGCGCGCGGCCAGGCGTGGCTCCAGGATCAGCGAGGATGTCCTTGAGAAGATCGCGACGCTGAGCGCGGCGAATGACCTCTTCGTCAGAGCTATCCGGCACCAGCTGAAGCTGCAGACGGCTGACGCGCTGCTGCATGCCTTTGCTCAACTTGGGTCGGGTCGGTGTCTGAGGGCGTACGGGAGTGCTTGCCGAGTCCGCACGAGCACGAGAAACAAGCGCGTTCTCGCGGGTCTTCTCTTGTCGGCGTGAGTAGTACGTCGCAGGCATCGGATGCGGTAGCGACGATGCGCCTGATGGTGACGACTGAATGGTCTCGTAGAAGCGCGCAGCGACACCGTTGATGACCATGGGCGCCGTCTTGCTTCTTGACGTATCACGCTCGGTCGGCGAGGTCTTGCCCTTCTCGACGACGGGCGCAGGCTTCAAGAAGGGCTGCGGATCTGTCGAGTTGCGACGCAGGCCGGCCTTGGGCGTCTTGGGCGTCGAGAAAGCGCCTTCAGCGGGCATTGAAGTACGCCTCTCAGTTCGCGGTGGTGGCTCAGTGACTGTGCCGCGACGCGAACGCGGCTCCCTGACGCGCTCAGCGCGCTCAACGGTGCGCTCAACACGGTCTTGCGCCTCCGGATGGAATAGTCCAGTGTCCTCGTCCTCGAGGTGATCGAAGAGCGGGCTGACGACATGTTGAGGCACAGCACTAGTACTAGTAGGCACGTTTGACTCGGTACGAGGAGGACTGGGCGCTGAAGGCTGTGCGCTCAGATCAAGGTCGATCGGCGGCGGTACTGGTGCAGGCGTATGCAAGAGCTCGATGTCCGTCTCTTCGGCCGGGCGGGAGCGACTCAAGCCCGACGGTTGACGCTGAGCGCGGTTCTTTTCGGAGAAGTAGAGCACTTCTGCCCGTAGCGAGCGAATCTCTTCTTCCTGGCCTTCGTACTACAGTCCATGAGTTAGCATGTGTGAATACGTCGGACGCAGTACCACAATCTGGGACTATCCCGCGTGCACGGAGGATCGGTGGACCCGGATATGAAGGGGCGTGAACTCACTTTTCTGTGAGCGTCGGATGGCACAAGGCGCAGATGAAGGGAGGGCGGGCAGTGAGGAGGTGAAGATCAGAAGGCGCGCGTGTGCAACGAGGCGCAACGTGACGTACCGAGTCCATTCGGCCTCTGCGCCCACCATCTCTTCCTGCAGGCGGGCCACATCCTTCTGAGAAAGCTCGAGGGCCTCGGCGAGGTCGAAGTTGGTCTGGTCGAGTGCCTTGTTGTTCGCCTCAGCCTCGCGCAGTTCGCGCAAGGCGAGCTGCTCGCGCTTGTGATACTCGTGGTATCTTACAATGAGCGTGAGTAGAGCGCGCAGGTCCCAGTGCTGATCCGAGGTGATCGTCAGTACAGTGAGCTCATAGAGTAGCGCAAAGCATGGCGGCCAAGTGGGGCGTAGCTAGTATTGGGTTGAAATGACCACTCACGTCGTCCGCTGTTTGTTGCTGGAGCCAGGCTTCAGCCTCGCCTTTGAGGTTCCCGAATCGCGTGCCATCTGCGCCCTCCCGCACCATGCTGATTAGACGCGCTTTGAGCTTCTCCTTCTCTACGTCGACTTCTCCGAGCGTTGAAATGACGGGCGCCGCCGGTGATCCTTGGGGTGTTGCGAGGTCGACATGTAACCTCCGGATTGATCTTGGATCAAAGTGTACACGGCATAGCGGGCAGACGAGGCGCGGAAACGAGTCAATACAACTGGCGATCGACGTTCGTTAGCGGGTTACGGGCAAACGTCATGGCTGCGACATACGATTGGCAGAATATATGGCCACATTGGATAGCGCACGGTTGGCGTGTGTTTTCGAGGCCAGAACGAAACTGTTCCAAGCAGATATCACAAGACGAAGAAGGATGAACTACCAGCATCGTAAAGTATCAAGAGCGAAGAAAGCTACCAGAGCGCAGGAGCAAGTGGCAAGAAGACGTTGACAAGGGGAGGTGTCGAAAGAGGCGGTAGAGGTTCTTATACAGCTGTCACCGGGCGCGAGTGGTGAGGCAGGTTGGATACTGGACACAGGGTATCGCACGGGGGAGAGGCGAACCTGCTGGGAAGATGTCACCGACTTTGCAACGAGTCTGTTATAGCTGTCCGTGGCTCGGCGCGGAAAGAGGGTGGGCGTAGAGATGGCAAAGGATCGGGTCCTAGTTTACGAGTAGACGCCGGGTTCGAAGGGCGCATGCTCGGAATGAACGCGCCGGCTGAGCACGCTTCGTGTAGTGACCGTTAGGGAACGCTGGTGGCCGCTAGACGGCTTCCACATCTCGGATCGGTCTGTCCAGAGCAGCGAAGCGCGCAACGTGCATGGACCTGCGCCGGCGGGCTGGTGCTTCCAGAAGATCGCAGTGAGGTTACCGATGCGCCACTGAGCCTAAAGGCGGCAAGCGCCGTCGGATTACAGGGCGCACGGGGGCTGCGAGATGAAAGCAGGGACAAAGCTAAGGATGATAAGACGTAGATGGAACAAGATGGAACGGCAATCGATGCAGAGATACCGAGAGATGCTTCGCGCGAAGTCGCACGAGTGCTCTGCACTGGACTTCACGGACCTCGCACAGGATCCTCTCACAACGGATGGGTCACCGAACTGGCTAGATTGAATAGCTTCGGGCAGCACATAGTTCTACACGCCTTCATTACGGACGGGATCATTACACGCCGCGTGGGCGCAACGCGCGAGATCACCTCATGATAGAGCTGAGAACTACCGAGCAGGTAGATGTCAAGAGAAGAGTCGGAGTACGTCGAGATACGCCACAACCGTGATGTCCGCTTCGACTTGTTCTACATATATCTTGGGTAGCTCATATACCGCCAAAGCCATGACAGGCGGAAATGAAGGCGGAACGCAAGATTGAGGAGCACCACCGCTGATCATGGTATGGAGGAATATCGTGCAAGATTTGGGGAAGTCAAGGAGTGCCGATAGCAACCGTACGCGCCGGGCTTTCGCATCATCGGCGGTAACTTGACGTCGTCTACGTGCTGAATTGAGTTTACAAGGTCGCCGTCAGACGTAAAATGGTGGTGCGAAGTATCTTCTGTGAGGAATTGTCATGGAGCCGTAAACGCCTGGCGGGATCAAGGACGTGTGGCGGTCATCGTCGTTCGAAACAACCCGCGCGGCCGACGCAATTTCCAAATGGCTGCCATTTATTCCACGCGCCACCCATGCGCTCTCCTTTCCCACATTCTCCTCATGCCAACGGCGGCCCGCCGAGCCTTGTCGAGTGCCGAGCTGGGCTCTGCTCTCTCCAGCACCAGCCGCTTGAGCAGTGTTTCAAGCGCGCACTCTTAACGGCGTCGCCGCGAGCTCTTCTCGCACTTTGCATCCTACTCCCATCTGATTGGCGGACATCCGTCTCCCGGCGCTCCCAGCGTCTCAACTTCGCACTTCTTCAACCTGGTCTCAGTCTCTCATCCAGACCGAGATTACTGGTGCACCTCGCGGGTCTACACTACTGATACAAAGAAGCAGTCCGACCTGAATAGTCCCTTGAACTGTAACTACGCTCTAGGCTATTTGAGAAGAGGCTTAGATTGCATCGAGCGCCATAGCGCTATCTGCTCGTCACTTGACCTGTTTCCCCGCACTCACCCCAGACTTCGTGGCCTTCTGAGTTCCGAGCCAGCTTCTCTACCCACGACTACACTTGCTCTCAACTCTCATGTTCACGCCCGCATCACGCCAACAGGGTCTTGTCCGCCGCTTTGGATCTGTCTCAGCGCCTGATCCATACGCGCAGCAGCACATTGTCGTCGAGCGACAAGAGAGCTCGCGCCTCACGATCGTCCGTGTCCAGCCCGAGGACTCTGCGCGTCTGTATGGCCCCGAGCCGGATCAGCTGTCCAGAAGCACCCATGGGACGCTGGTCTCTCCTCCCACCAAATCCCCTCGGGGATCACCACGGCTCTCTTTCGCATCCACGACCTTCTCACAGCAGCCACCCAGCCCAACGCGCTCCCTTCGCGAAGTACGAGGGAGATCGGGGTCCGCATCAAGGGCCGCGCAGATGCGCCCCGTCTCATTGACGCCCCAGGAAGTCCTCGATCTGGCGGAGACATCTGTGCACCCGTCCGCTGCATCCACAGCGGCATCCTCGCGCCGCCGCTCGCGCTCGCCGACAATGTTCATCCCAGTGCCAGAAAAGCAGCTATTGCCTTTCTTGGACCGCCCATCCGAGGTTGCCGCGTTCATAGCCGCGCCACCGACGAGCCGCCTCATGGCGCTTCTAGAGCAGGCCTTCCCAGCCCACCAGCGCATCCGGCCCCCGCGGAGCCCCTCGGCACCGCCCCCGTACACGCCCTCGCGCTCGCAGAGCTTCGCGGACGAGCTCGCCAGCGCGCTTGCCGTGTATGCCGAGCGGCCGCGCGCCAGCTTCGAAGATGACCCCGCACAGTGGAGCTATGCCGTGCTCGTTGAGTGGATGTGCACGGTCCCCAGGGAGGCGGCGGACGATGTGGCGTGGATCAAGAAGATCCGGACTTGTGTTATGGCGCATAGCGAGCAGATATGTGTTGCGCTTTTGAGTGCGCTCGGTGTTCCTATGGGCGGCTTCGATGAGGGGAATGAGGATGAGGAGGTTGAGGTCGAAGAGGATGTTCTCGCGCCGTTGCCCATACACGCTCGGCGACAAACTCCCACACCGACGCCCACGCCCGTAGGTCGAGACTTCGACTCTCCCTCTACCGTACTCGGCGACGTGCTAGACGTAGACGACGACGCATTCCATCTCAGCGTCTCGGAGATTATCGCACCTTTGCCGGACACAACGCAGATCTACGCCATCGGGGAGAGCGATGAGTCGCAATCATCGTCAGAGTCCGAAGACGAGCTCGTCGTCCGCAGGCGCCGTGTCGGTTCCGGCGCATCAACACCCCGGGCGCGCTCTCCGCGCTACGACAGCACCTCATCCTCGTCCGATCCCGACACGCCAGCGTCACCCCCGCCGGTACACCGGTCGTTACTGGGCTTGATCTTCGAGGCGCACCCACGTGCGACCGGCGACGTGCGCGTTCTTCCTTCGCTCCGCGGACCCACTTCGTTCCCTGCGCCCGTATCGTCTTCATTACCGCCCGTGCCGGTGAAAGGCAAGCGCAAACTACGCGTTGCGCACGTATTGAGTGGTGCGCCCGGTCATGCGGGGTATACATGGCGGCCTGGAGGCCCGCTGTTCGCGCGCTCCTTTGGCGGAAGGGGTGGGGAGAATAGTGATTCTGAGTTCGAGGGCGAGAAAGTACCTCCTCTCTTGCCAAAGTGCGTCGCGATTCTATTCTGCTCTTCTATGTATACGATGGCTGACGCTTTGGTATAGGGCGGTATTTGATATCAAGCGACCCTCGATACGCCAGCGGTCGAAATCGCGCGAGACGGTGCGCCGTTTGAAAGACGCGAAGATGATTGTCCCGCCAAATACGCCCGTGAGCGGCGTGATAGAGCTATTACCGCAGTTGCCGGCGTCGATCTGATACTCTCCTTGCAATATTGAACACTCGTTATTGGTCCCTGTTAGGTTTTCATTCGGATTGGGTCCTTGTTTTGTACACTACCTCCATGCGGTTCATCTTGATCGGGTTTCCGAGTCTTCCATTGTACTCTGCTTCATAAACTTCTTCTCTACTCGCTTATTCTCGGATGCTATGAATCTTGCTATGGAATGGACGGACATTACATCTCATATCGGTCTGCTTCGTGACAGCTCTAGATAATCTTGTGACCGAGCAAGGTAATATATATCCCACTAATGAATGCCCCAGACAGTTTCATCACGAGTTGGACGCGCAATGGCCTCTTTCCTCTAAGGAGTACGACCCTCAGCTTGGCTCCGAGACGAACAGACAGCACACGACATCGGCACAAAGATCCCTGACCTCGTTTATCTCTACGCGAACAAAGAGGCGCCGATTGTCCTGTGGATCCGCCAGAGATGAAGCGTTCTGGGCATCGTAGGCCCTTTCCGGGAGACGCGCGCTTCAGTCTTCCATCGCACCCCGTACGCTCCGCGCCGGAGTGTACGTGCGTAGGACCGACCCGCAGCAGCCAGCTACTCATCACAGCGTCAAGATTCCCAAAAGTGAGCGCAGTAGAGCGCACGGACCGATGTTCCGATATCACACCCCGCACCCTCGTTCCGCGCGTCCGGCTGCAGTCTGTCTCGGTGATCAGCTGCTGTACTTGCGCTGAGGTGTTCGCATAGCGGGCCGCACTTTCTCGATCGTGTGCTGCGACGGGTGCAAATGGGATCACGATGTTAGAGGGTCTGAGGAGAGGAGAGAGGAGAGATGATCAACGGGGTGTGACTGACGCGTGAGGTAACGCGACTTGCGCTGCAAGTAGTACTTTTAGCTACTTTTGGCCTTTGGGTGGCTGCCACATAAAAAGCCATTCCTCTTGTCATTTCGAACTCTTCATACTCGCTACGCATGCCATTGGTAGAGCATTTGGAACCCCTACGAGCGCCGACCCTGGGGCCGGATGCAGGCAACGGCTCGCAGTATTACTATAAGAGACGACACTTGGTGTTTTCATGAGCCGTGTCTGTGAAGCGGCTCTGAGTCTTTGCGCAAGGCGCTTACCACTATACAACATATAGAGTTCGGTCGCAGAACATATCACAGGCCTGGCGCCTGTCGGCGACGAGGCGGACGAGCGACCATGCGGTCCAGCCAGTCATCCAGTGATGAAGCGCTGCAGTCGAAGATATCCTTCCTTCCACACCACGACGAGCTCACAATCATGTCTTCGAGCCCGCGCCTGGCGCGCCGAATGATGACCCGGTCGATGTTGGCCGTACGGGGAAAGGACAGCCACCGGCTGTATTGGTGATGCAACGTGCGCCGGCGAATTCCGAAGCGGTGACGACGTTGTCGTCGCCGCGCGCCCTTCGACCAACCGAACACCGCCCACTCCCGAACCAGCACCGCCGCCGGCGACCTCCGCGCTTTATATACTCTACCTCCGCACTACTTACTTTGCGCTCTTCATTCTACTCTCTACTCTTTCACTTCCTAGACTTCGCGCGGTCGCTATGCCTTTCACGCCCGATACCGAGCTCGAGCTGCTCTTCCCCGCGGATCGCATCCCGCAGTCCGTCAAGGACGCTCTCCCCAGCGACCTCCACGTACGCCTCAGTTTGTGATACTGTAATGCCACACCTCATAGAGAAATACAGATGCGCCCACTAGCCTCGACAGACTTCCACCGCGGCCACCTCGACGTCCTCAGCGTCCTCACCATAGTCGGCTCCCCCGCCGAAGCCGCCTACCGCTCGCAATTCGCCTTCCTCAAGTCCACGCCGCACACGTACTACACCCTCGTCATCGTCGACAAGAGCGCCGACCGCGTCGTCGGCGTCGGCAGCGTGTTCATGGAGCACAAGTTCCTGCGCTCCCTCGGCACCGTCGGGCACATCGAGGACATTGCCGTGGATAAGAGCCAGCAGGGGAAGAAATTGGGCCTGAGGATTATCGAGGCGCTTACGCTTATTAGCGAGGCGCATGGCGCGTACAAGACGATTTTGAACTGCTCGGACGCGAACGTGCCGTTCTATGAGAAGTGCGGGTACGCAAGGAAGGAGAACGAGATGGTGCGTTGTCCTCCCCGCTACAATCGCGTTTCACGTTTGCTGATGAACATGCTGTGCGTGCAGGCCAAGTACGCGCCCGAACAGCGCGCTCATACACCGCTGCTCTGAGAATAGAATGTCCGGGCTCGTCCTTGTCGGCTGGTCTGTTCGCATCATAGACCGTAATACCCATCCACCCCTCGTAATTGTCAAGTTCATGGACCTTGTGGACGCTCTTTCTCGCACTCTACGCAAGCTTTGTCGCGCTTTGTATATACTACATACTCTCCGAGTCCTCTCAACACGGATTAAACTTATCTCTTTCCTTGCGGGCGGGTGCTGCGGACTACAGTCAACGTTGGGCGCTATTGGTGATCCTCCCGTCTTGGTCTTGAAGGCTCGCTCCTGCGTCTTCAGAGTCTGCCGTTATCGAGCGCCGTCGACGGGGAACGGAAAACTGGAGATTATCGAGGCCGTGAGGATGTCGGAGCCTGGAGGAGGAGGGCTCGATGGTCCCCTTTGGGCGTAGGGAGGACTACTGGAGCCACCCCTCAGTCTATACTCTCATGCGATGCTCGCGTCCACGATCTATTTAAGCACCCTTCCGAGTTCAAACGTTCAGGTCTTGTAAAAAGGCCGGTCTTTTGTCAAGAACCACATCTATGGGACTGTCCAGCACCGAACAATGCACAATGGCGCGGACTCGGACCGTGCCTTGGTCTTCGACTATATAATGCCCACCTCGTCCTCCTCCCAGCTATGCCCCGCATTTCAACCCGACTCTCCTCGCCGTCGCCGCTCTTCAAACATCCACGATGATCGACAAAACACCGGCACCCTCCCCCCCTCCTCCCTCTGAATCCCGTCCGCCCTCATACCACACTTACAACCCCGCCCCACCCATCTCCCGCACACAAAGCTACACAAAGCGCAAACCGGCCCCGCCCTACGTCGACCCGCGCCCGCACCACATCCGCGCCGCAAACGCCAGCCTCGACACGTTCCTCACAACGCGCTCGCCGATGCTCAGCGCGATCCGGGATGTGCGCGATCGTGCCCTGTCCGGAGTTGATGGAGAAGAGGTGCGGATTATGGAGCTTGAGCGGCGGAAGGCTGTCGCATCTGGGGAGGGGCAGGCAGAGTTGGGGTTGGCGAGGGAGAGGAGGAAAGAAGAGGAGAAGAGGGCACGGGAGGAGGAGAGGAGGCGGGAGGAGGAGGAGCGGGTGTTGAGTGAGAAGAGAGCGAGGGATGTGAAGGGGAGGGAGGTTAAGAGGTGGAGGAGGGATGTGCCGAGTGGACGGGATGTTGCGGTTGAGGAATCTGAATGGGAGGGTGGGGAGCTGGGCCGGGGGTGATATCTCTCGCGATGTTCTGCCGCGTTTCTGCATGCGGACTTGGATTACTTATACTGTATGCCTGTATGCACCATATAATTCCATACCTGCATACTCTACCAATTTCCTGCGTCCCACCGAAGCCCTCCCCACGTCGAATATAAGCCCCGAACACCGTGCACACACGCGTTACATCACGCGTCAGTCACAAAACGCGCTCGACGCGTTCTCGCCGAAAATGAACTTGATCTCCAACGTCAACCACGATGTGCACCCGCGAAACCTTCCCCTCCAGCCCCCGCACGCTATCGCACTCCTTCGCCCACCCGCACGCAGACGTACGTGCCGCACACGAGCACTGCCGTCTCGCCGAACGACACATACTCGACCGATTACCGGGTGCAGACCCCCGAGCGGAGTCAGAGTTGGACGCGTCGTTGGTCTGTACGCGCGTACTGGGTCATCTGCTCGAGGAGGAGAACGAGCGGATGGGCGTGGCGCAGGTCAACATTGCGGGCGATGTGCTCTGCGCGGTGATGACGGTGGGGGACGACGAGCGGGTGGAGAAGGTTGTTGAGCTCGGGAGGGTTATTAGGGACTATTTCATTCGCCCCTGTGAGTTTCTTCCGATCGGCGTGTGTACTGCTGGCGCTGACGTCTGGGCGCTGGTAGTCAGACACATAGACGTAGACGACTCGCCCTCCCTATCCCACCCTTCCCCGCCGCCCTTCGATCTCACCCCAGACGAAACGCTCGACTTCCTCCTCCAACCCTCTACCTCGCCCGACGGTACAAGAAAACAGGCGCGTCTCTTCCCAAGTCTCCTCTCTATCTCGCACTCGATCGTGCTGATGCGTACGACAGGCGCTCGTCCGCGACGGGTTCAGAGACGTGTTGAACCGCACGATGGATCGGAAGTACTTCCTCGGCAAATGGGAGCGCGATCATCCGGGCGAGAAGACGGTGTTGGAGGGCGTGGCGGCGCTCGAGGGCTGTTATATCTTCAAGGCTCCTCTGCGCGCGAAGGGATCGCGAGCGTTGAAGGTGCTCACAAGATTCTGGACTTGGGATACGAGAGACACTCTTGTTGACTGTGCTTTTAGTCGGCGGGCGACGACGCGGCGTCTACCAGTGGATTACTCGAGCGATTCGGGTACGGCCATCTAGTCGACGAGCTCGCCGGAGGCGGTATACACCGCCTGTCAAACGTTCTGACGCTCACGCACGAGAACCGTCTCTCGTTCGACGAGATGAGCTTGTGGCTAGAAGAAACGGACGTGCGTGCCCCCTCCATCTATTCATCCCTACATACATACGCACAAACACTGAATACTGAGTTTTACCCCGCGACAGGTGCGCCACCGATACCGCATCGTAACGCCCGACCTCACCACCGCAATCCGAGCGCAACAGCGCCTCCCCTCCACCGTCGACTTCACCTCGCACACCACATCCACTTCCGCCTCCACCTCCAGCAACACTCCCCAAGAGCACACCCTCCCCAGCCCAGACGCCCTCCGCCTGCACGCCCTCGCGTGCCGCCTATCCCGCCTCTCCGGCGCGTCGGCCTACTTCGACCGCATACAAGACTTCTTCGATGCGTATGGCTGTAGATCGACCTTCGACGTGTATGGCTGTAGATTGACCGGGGCGGGGACGGGGACGGGGACGGGGGTGGATGAGAGGGATGTGTTTGTTGATGCGGTGAGGGTGAGGTTGATGGATGCTGGGGCGCGGGGTGGGGGTTGGGATGGGG